AAATATATACCCCAAAGCTATGCCACTGATGCCCCACTCCCTCCAGCCACACCCCAACTGCCTTCAGTCACCAATCAATTAATCCCTTCGGTTAAGGCTCTTAGATTCCAACCATTTCGTCTCTGAGCCTTCTTGCATTCTCTCATATGTAGGTCACCTCACATCCAAACCATAAAAAATAGCATCTTGTTGCATAATAACAAGAGATTTAAACCTACGGAATTCACCTCTCACATGTATAAGTTTATTAGAAGGGAACAGGAAAATGGACAACGGAAGCCATTAAAAAAACGGATAGTCAAGAATATATAGATTCAGGCTGGGGGTTGTGGCTCAGTCATACAATGCTTGCCTAGCACACATGAAGCACTTTGTTCGATCCCCAGCATCAAGTAAAAAAAATAAAGATATCATGTCCATCTACAACTAAAAACATAATAAATAAATAAATAAATAATAAAAAACATGTGTGTATATACATTAGACTCAAGGGCAGGAATAGTGGTTTAACTTTTTAGACATAGTGAAGCAATATTATTTGGTCAGTAACTAGAAGAAAGGGTGATAACAATGAATTTTGAGATAAAACCAATTAACACCAAGGTAACTTGTTCCTTGTAGCTAGCTAAGGTCTAGATATAGAGGATAAGATTTTAAGCCATGTAAAAGCCACAGTGCCATCTGTTCTGTGAGAACTATTACACCTGAAAAAGAAATTAAACTCAGCCCCAGAATTTTGAACAGCATTCCATAGAACGTATCGGGTAGTGGTGTGGTTCTTGGTTATTGGCAGGTCAGAAATAGCAACAGGAAGAATCAGATGTCAAGGTTTAGAACGAATTAGTGAAAAGAAAGGAAATCTGGTTTTCCTCAGATTATTAGGAAAGATAGTGTATGTCTGTAACTGAGAACATCACTTTCTAAAAAGGTTTAATCTAACCAATTTGTAGAGTTACTTTTAAGGAAGTTGGAATGTTTCATTGAATTCAGGGCACTCTTGACAGAAATATATAAAATAGCAAAATGTGTATGTTTGTATGTCTATGTACTAGATATATAAAAAAGGAATAATGTAATATGCTTTTGTGTACTTTGTGTTAAGGGTTTCATGATTCAGACAGGAGATCCAACAGGTACAGGTATGGGAGGAGAAAGCATATGGGGAGGAGAATTTGAAGATGAATTTCATTCCACATTGCGACATGACAGACCATACACGCTCAGCATGGCCAATGCTGGATCCAATACTAATGGATCCCAGTTTTTCATAACAGTAGTACCAACGGTGAGTACATAAATGCCTATAAATCATAGGTTCATAAGTTATGATTTAAGAGTAAACTAAATGGGAGAATTGCATTATTCTCTAATTCTGCATTATTTATATCTGCCAAGATATAAAAATGAAAACAATTTAGAGAAGAAAATGTGAAGTTATGTGACATGAGTTTTAACTTGGTAAAATAATACTGTCATGTAATAAGTACAGTGGGTGGTACTCCCATTAGAATTACATTCCAATTTAAGATAACTTAATGAGTTTAAGTCTCAACTCTGCCACTACTATTTGTGCAGTTTAAAAATATTTCACTTCTCTGAGCCTTTTTCCTCATCTTTAGAACAAAGGAACTATGGTATATGAATTCCCAATTTTAAGGCTAAAATTTTCACAATTTTATCGCTGATAAAAGAATATAATTCTAATCAATGGCATTTTATTTGATGAAATACATCTAATTCTATTGTTATGCAGTGCCACACAATTATAAAAGGTATATACTTAATTATCAGTGAAGAAAGGAAAAAATATAACTGTTATCTGCCAGGCAGTCAGTCTCATGTACTGTTCACAGTATTTATAGTATCACTTTCCTTAGTTTTCATAATGGGTGAGGAAACAAATGGTGAGATATGATTAAATTGTCCAAGTTCCAGTAAGTGGCAGTGTGACCATCTGAACTGTCATCTAATACAATAGGTACCTAATGTTAAACTATTCCAAACTGCCTCTTACTTTTCAGGTAAGATTCCTGCAGAGAACCTGTAAAACTTTAGTCATACTTTTTTAATCCATGCAAAGCAACTTACCTTTAGCAAACACCTTCCAGCTTCTTTGGTCTGAAGGATGTAGATATTTAATTAAACTATTTTATACAGTTGGCCTTCTGTATCATTGGATTCCTTATCCAACTTTGACCAACTGCAGGCTGAAAATATTCAGAAAGAAAAATTGCATCTCTTTTTTTTTCTCGTCACTAACCCCTACACAATACAGTTTAACAAATGTTTATATAGCATTTACATTGCACTAGGTATTATAATCTAAAAATCATCTCGAGATGATTTAAAATATATAAGAGGATTTGCAAGATTATAAATACTACACCATTTTGTATAAGAGGTTTTAGCATCTATAGATTTGGCATCTGTGGGAGACAGGAATGGATCACTCTCCCATGGATACCGAGGGATGACATGCTTTTATATTTTTTTCTTATAAAACTAGTAATAAATTTTAAAAGTGTTTAAGTTTTTATTATTAATATATTATTCTACTTCTTTTAAAATATATTATAAAATGAAGCATAAATTTAAAGTCACTTTAATTTGGTCACCCAGAGGGTGTGACTTAAGACATTCATGTTTACTAAGATTTTCCATTTGTTTCCAACACAGCCTTGGCTTGATAATAAGCACACAGTATTTGGACGCGTAACTAAAGGAATGGAAGTTGTGCAGAGAATCTCAAATGTCAAAGTCAATCCCAAAACCGATAAGCCTTATGAGGATGTCAGCATCATAAATATCACTGTCAAGTAAAATAAATTTGTTTCATTTGCAAATAAAAATGTACATATGTTAAAAGATTTTTTTAATTAGGAAACTTAACACTTGCTGAATATACAAATCATGTTTTAAAAGATGCAATACTGTATTTTTATATTTGTCATTAAAGGCCATTTTGTAAAAGCTGCCTTTAACTTTTCTTGCAATATTTCTAATCTTAAGAGTTAATCAATTAAAATGAACTAAATTGGGCATATAGCCCTCTTTATACGTTCTCATGAGACTCAAATTAAATATGAAATTATAAAGTAATGAGAATGGTACATATTTCCTTAACTTTTCAAATACATGTCATGAAATCTACCCTTATAAGTACAAAGAAGGGTAGACCCCTCTACAAAAAAATACCAGGGTATCATATTATATACATTCCCTTTCTTTTACAAAATCTTTGTTTCATATCACATATTTTTTCTTTTGATCGTTGTTAAGAAGTACTGGTAAACAAACCATCAGTAAGTCAATACGAAGCCCCCTTGGTATTATATTACTTTGTTATGAAATATCCATTCAAACACAAGAATCAGAATAAATTATTACATGAACACTTGGTTATTTTATGCAGATTTATTTACTACATTGGTATTTTTCTAATGTAACTAAATAATCTTTTTGTCCTCAAGTTATATCTTACTTCAATAAATATACCACCAAGAAATATACATAGGAGTAAAAATGTTAGTATCTAATAATAGATTACTAGAAAAGAGCAATAAAATGAGTTCAAATTTTTGTTGACTCATTTTTATCTTCACTTACCCTTACTTAATAAGTTACTTACTTTTTATAAGAATTCATGTTCCTATAATTAATCAGCAAGATTATTTCCTATATTTATTATGTACCACAAACTTATAAAGGGAAGAATATAGTAAATTATGATTGTAATAAAAGAATATTGTGCCCTGTTTATTAAAAGTAGAACTTAAACTGGGACCTAAAGTGACTTTTAACTGTGACTTTAACCTTTTCTTCCTTACTTTTGGTGTTAGACTTAACTACCTAGTTTTTTATTCATTCCTAAAACCTTAATCTAAATTTTTGTAATACTGCCACCAAGTGGTGATGATGCCTCATTCCCCACAAAATATAAATGTTTTGCTTTGAAAAATCTTATTTGATAAAAGAATTTTTCCATTCCATATCAAAAACTTAACCTGATTGGTAATGTAAAAACACACAGTGCTATGACTTTCTTAAAGCATGTTTTGAATTGTTAACCTTGATAAGGTATCTGGGATTACAAATGTGCTGTGAGACCTGGCAAGAACATATCATTTTTAATGATTATTTTAAAAAATACAGAACACACCTGTACTCCGTGCATTCTGGGAGGCTGAAGCAGGAAGATGGCAAGTTCAAAGCCAGCCTCAGCAACTCAGTAAGGCTCAAAATAAGAAACAAAAACGGCTAGGGATATGTCTCAAGGTACTTATTAATCCTTTTCATTCCTTTTAGGGAAATTCACAGCTCTTTCTTTCCTCTTTATCACTTTGTAAATTGAAATCTATCCCAATGTCATATAAAATTTTTCTCTTAGCAATACTGTTCATAGACTAAATCAGGTTTTTCAAATCTTTTTTTAAAAAAACTGAATCTAGGGAGGATTTTACGCATTTTAAGTTTACCCTCTACCACTGAGCTACATCTGCTGCCTGGCAAAGACTTTTTTGCGGGAAGATCCAGGGGATTGAACCCATGGGTGTTCAACCACTAAGCCACATCCTTAGCCATTTTTCATTTTGAGACAGGGTCTTTTTAATTTACTTAGAGCCTCGTTGCATTGCTGAGGATGGCTTTGAACTTGCCATCTTCCTGCTTCAGCTTCTTAAAGTGCCAGGATTACAGGTGTGTGCCATATTTTTTAAAATAATCATTAAAAATGTTATGTTCTTGCCAGGTACCACATCTGTAATCCCAGCAACTCAGGAGGCTGAGGCAGGAGGATCACAGGTTCTAGGCCAGTCTTAGCAATTCAGTGAGGTCCTAAGCAACTTAGAGAGACTGTCTCAAAAAATAAAGAGGGTGGGGATTTAGCTCAGTAGTAAAGTGCTCCTGGGATCAATCTCCAATACCAAAAATAAATAAATATCTAGCACCAAAAATAAATTAATATTAAAAATGCTGTGTTGTCACATAAAACAAGGTTAAAATTAAAATTTAAAAACTAAAAACTTTATTTTTACTCGTTGCAGAATTTTAGCTTCCCCTTCAAAACACTGCAGTTTTCTTAAATATGATCTACATTACAATTATGGGGAAAGTTATTTCTAAATCTTTACTTTATCAAATAATATCTCAAATTTGATAGACAAATCAATCCCATCCTGTTTTGATTTGTTTCTGTTAACCATAGCACAAATACTATTTATTTATTGCTGTGCTGGGGATAGAACCCAAGGCCTCTTGCATGCTGAGTAAGCACTTCTACCACTGAGATACACCATCAACCAGAATAATGAATTTTTTAAGTTGGTTACTAGCAAAGATAATAGATACATGGTTGAAGAAACTGAACTTTAGAATAATGATAGAACTTCTCCTATATAATGATTTTTAACATTTTATTGCTGTCTATACTGATCATATATATAGTGCAAATAATGGCTTCTGGTGGATATAAAGCATTCCTGAAATATAGACCAAGGCTATACACTTCACAAACCTGCTTTACATAATCCATACAATAATGTTTAGATTTTAGTACAGAAATTCAGAGTGAGGAGGCAAATCCCAACATACTATATTTAAAACATCTGTCATTTTAAATTTGACATTGCCCTGGGGAAGCTTAACATAATTTTAACTGACTAATGAAAGAATACAACCACAAACAGTAATAAGAGCCCGAGAAAAATATTTAAGAAAAATCATAATAAACCGTACGGTTACATGTACATAATGGTCAGGCCTAAGCACAATTTAAAAACTCTGTTCAGTTATATGTTCAGGATGTGAATTACAAAGTTTAGCAAAATTAGTGAAGTAATAATTTACAAGGAAAGCAAGTTCACATAGTAGTGTTATTTTTTTTTTCCAACTACCAAGTGGAGAAAACAGTTCAAGGGCTCACAGGCAAATGCAACACCAGTTTTATTTTCACAGTTACTGAAATCATTCAAATATTAAATAATTTAATTCAAAGGAATTATTTACGCACACAAACTATTTGTAACAGCATGACTTTTTACTTGAAAAATAAAGGGTGAATATTATATTTTACGTATTTACATATTGCCCATAACACTGATGAGCTTTTTTTTAATGCTTTTCTAAAACTTTTTGTTTTTTAAAAAAACAAAAATACCCTTGAAAAGACTGAACCCAAACCGTGCCGCCTGTCACATCTTAACATCAGATACCATTGTCCTTATGACAATTTAACCAAGATTCAAGATTCTACTTTATCCTGAAGTATGAAAAGCATTAAAAGAAAACAAAAAACTAGCTATGTAAATATAATAAATCGTGCTTCCATAGTAAGAGTATCCTTTAAAAATGAGAAACAGTAAAGAGCACAAAATTTTTTAACTTTAACTCACAATACTGCTTAATAAATGTAAACTTTTTTAGTATTTCTTTAGACACATTTTTTTCCTCTTAAATAACTGAGGCCTTGTCATGTAGAGCCTTTTATATTGTTAAGTAAATGCACTTATTATGGAAAGTATTTAAAATAAATAATAGGCATTCCCCACCATTTCAACAACTTCTCTTAATGTAAAAGTCGTATATATTCTATTTAGGTCTCTTTTATGAAAAGCTGACCCTGGTTCTTTGTGTGACTTACTACATTTTACCTATAGTTGCCCCTATAAAGGATGCGATATTATTTTAGAAAGAAACACTACGTAAATATGTTGAAAAATAGAAGGACCAATTTAGATCTCTGACCTAGGAAATAAGTCTAGGTTCAGTCCTGGAAATGGGTCTTTTATAAATGAAGACCAAATGACTTTCACAGTTTTAGTACTTTACAGTTAGTACTAATCTGACAATTAGGCCTAGTTAGATAACATTGCATTCTTTTTACTGTGTTTTATACAAAATATTTTAGGAGAAAGTTTTAATAAAGCTGTATAAAATATTAATTTTTATAGCTTATAGTTTGCATGAAAGGTGGTATTATACTGAAGATCAAAGTAATCTTATTACCCTAAGATGTAGTTTAGATTCTGTTTCATTAAGCAACTTCCATACCTACAAATAAGTACTACCAAAATTCCGTGAAAGGCAAGTTAAAGAAACTATACTTCCATTGCTCCACAGAAATTCCATTAACTCAGTTAGCTAGCTATTTATCACTGAAAGAAAAAAACTTCATTTACCCTTTCTCTGTGCCTACTTCTTTCCCAATATATGGGTTGCATAGAATCTAAAAAACTTAAATAACAAATGTACTTTTTAAAAGAATGTATATCCAAGAAATTTCTTTTTAATCTGCTCTAACCTCATATATTCAAACTTTGCCACAGAATTTGTTTTCTAAAGCAGTAACATACTTAGTTCCCAGTCCCAGATTCTTTTACATACACATATTATCATATTTGAGATGTAGAATTTCCTGCAATGTATTATGTGCAAAATAACTTCACCACAAAACTTTTAAATAACCACTGCATTTAAAATCAAGCAACATCCAATACTCCAGCAGCAACAAGTTGCCGTGAAAGCCAGTCCAACCCTTCATACAGCCCCATACCACTTCGAGCATCACAGCCCTGAATAAACCAACTACGACCACAGCATAGTTTATGGAGACTGAGAAGTTCAGTGATTTCTTCTACTGACAAAGCTCCAGCAACATCCTGAAACACATACACAGTACAATTTTTATCAGTCCATACAATTTATCATTTTTTTCTAATTACTATTTGTATAGAAATCTACTGACTGTATTCTAACAGAAGCCGAAACAAAAGTTAAAACCTAGAATCATCTTTCAATAATTATTCTGAGATAAACAACAGAAAAATTATTTAGAGTTTTGGTAAAAATGATTTGTGTGTGTGTGTATGTATGTGTGTGTGTGTGTGTGTGTGTGTGTGTGTGTGTGTGTATTTTGCAAGAATAACCTTATAGTGTAATCAGTGAAGGTCTAATCTGAATGAAGGATACTGCCCAAGTCAGTAAAAGAAATTAACACATATATACTATAAAAATGGTTTATAAAATTATTTCATTACACTCTCTCTCTGAATGCCCCTTGCTCCTATTTTCCAAGAACAACACCAGTAACAATTTCTTACATATTTTTTCCAGAATATTTCCATGCAAATAAACAAAAAGAAACATTTGAGACTTTCTAAAACTAGGGGGTTTAGGATTTTTTTGTTTGTTTTATTTACAATGTTAAAGTAAATATATCTTTCCATTATCAACACATTCAGATTTTTCACCTTATATTTAACATCAGAATTGTACTCCCCTGTGTGGATGCAACATAATTCAATTAAGCAATCCTATACTGAATATTTAATGATGTGTGCTTATGTGTATTAAAAATCCATATACACAGTTGGCCCTCTGTATCATGGACTCTGCATCTGTGGATTCAATGAAAATATTTAGAGGACTGGGAGGGGAAGGGAGGGGGCATGGGGTTAGAAATGATGGTGGAATGTGATGGACATCATTATCCAAAGTACATGTATGAAGACAAGAATGGTGTAAATATACTTTGTATACAACCAGAGATATGAAAAATTGTGCTCTATATATGTAATACGAATTGTAATACATTCTGTTGTCATAGATAAATCAGAATAAAAACTAAATATATAAAAAGAAAATATTCGGGAAAAAATTGTCTGCAATGAACAAGTAAAGACTACTTATTATTACCTAAACAAAAAAGTTTAAAAACTATTAGCATAGCAATTACATTGTATTAGGTTTCATCCCCAGTACTACCAAAGATATTTGTAATTATAAGTAAACTACAGATGATTTAAATATTCAGGAAGATGTATGTAGTTAAATGGAGATACTATGACATATAAAACAGACTTGAGCATCTGAAGATCTGGGTATCTGCAAGGGGTGCCCTGGAGCCAATACCCCACAGATACTGGGGGACAAATGTATACATATATACATTGATATATATACATACATAAGGTTATACATACTTATAAAATTATCTGTAGAATTATATTTGGATATTTGTCTATTAGATGCATTACTTTAGAATTTCAGAGTAAAAGGGTGTACGCATTTAAAACTTTGAAATTATTCTCTAAGAAAACGACTCAGTTTAATTAATCATACCAATAGTGTATGAATCTCTGAGAATTACGAAACAATGTCATCTTTAACAACCTGATACTGTTTTTCACTATATAACTGTTGCAGATTTTATGCCAATTGTTTTGTGTGTGTGTGTGTGTGTATGTGTACGTATGCAAAACACTGGGGTGTGACCATTATGTGAAGCTGTTTTTGTTTTTGTTTTGTACTGGGAATTGAATTCAGCAGTGCTTTACCACAAAGCTACATTGCAGTCCATTTTAAAATTTTTTTAAAAAATTAATTCTGAGACACTGTCTCGCTAAGTTGCTGGGCTGGCCTTAAATTTATGATTTTCTTGCCTCAGCCTTTCACATGTGAGGCTTTAAAAAACTTGTGGCTTTAAAAATCATTTATTACAGACTGGAGACATAGCTCAGTGGCAGAGCACTTGCCTAGCACATGCAAGGCCCCGGGTTTCATCCCCAGTACTACCAAAGATAAAAAAAAAAAAAAAAAAAAATCATTTATTACTAAACTGGTTTAAGATTAGGATGCATGGAACACTTGTGAATAACATTAATGTGGTAACGGTTATGCAGTAGAATAGGGTAAATGCCCTAATTGTGTATGTTCCATTATAAGTAAGGGTAAATATATCAGTTCTTATGGGGAAAATTCCTTTTTATTCATCTAACACTTCCCCTTCTGTGACATTCTTCAACTTCACTTGTACTCCTCTTCTTCTACCTATACTTAAAAAGTATTCTTCATTCTCTTAGAAGCTTAGGCTCACGATCTAGGAATCTTCAGCTGCTTTCAATCTTTCATCCTCCCCTTATACTCACCAATTCTTCCTCTATAAAAACTCTCTAGTTTGCTTCTACCTTTGTCTTCCTCTAATTCAGTACTGTTAACTTTAATTATTTCAGTTTACTACGTCTCCCTGTCTATTCCCTTGTCCTGACTCACTCCACATTCTAATCCCAGAATTACAATCAAATTTTTAATGATTCTCCTTTTCTAAAGCATTAAATCTAAATTTCTTGATCTCACCCTATCAGACTTTTGCAATGTGACCTCATCTATTATTCTAGATTTTCTTAATCCTATGCCTGTACCTCACATATAGTCTATTTGATGCTCCCTAAAAACATTCATGCTATTATTTTATTCATCTGTAATGTTCTTTCCTTCACATGGAGACACACAAAATCTTATCCATAATTTCAACTACTATCATAATTTCAACTCAAATCCTACTTTTTACAAATCTTATAAGGTATCACCTTTAGAACTATTCTCTCTCCTTGCTCTCCATAACCCTTTGTTAATATTACTGAAGCTACTTATCAGTTTTGTTTTATTGGAATTTCATGTTTTTGCATACATACACAAGATTATCTGGTGAGCATCTATTACTTTATTTCTTTTTTATATACTCCAAAATACCCAGTACAGCACTTTCCATGTAGACTGTATTCAAAAAACACAGCAGAAATTTTAAAAATATCTCCTGCGTGGACTCTCTTTGAAATGTTTCCAGCTGCCTTATGCCAAGTAATACACAAAACTATTAAAATAAGCATTTTTATAAAAAAAATATATTACCTGTTTGTTAGCAAAAATAAGGAGCAAAGCATCCCGGAGTTCTTTTTCTGTTAACAACTTTGCAAGTTCACTGTGTGCTTCACTAATTCTGTCTCGATGACTGCTATCAACAACGAATACAACAGCTACAGAAAGGAACGAAGAACAGGGGAGTAGAACAGAGGGAGGGAGGATAGGGAGCACAGAGAAATGCAGAAGGAGGGAGGGAGGGAAAAAAAAAGAAACCCACAAAATATTCAATAAGTTACTTAAGCTTCAGTAAATGAACCAAATATTATATATTATATTTATATATATTATGTATATTATTATATTAAGGCAACAGTTTATTGACCATCACTATCTTCATATAAAGGCTGCCTATTTAATGACAGGAACACCTACTAATAAATTAATGGTATGATCTCAAGTAGTTAACATAATTTCACAGGTCTAGTTTCTCCATCTATGACAGGATTTATTATACTTGTTCTATCAAACACAAACTGCTTTTAATACTTTTAATGAGTAAAAATATGCTTCTCATGATCTACGTATTGATGCTACTTGTTCTCTGAATATTATTTCCTTTACAAAAAGAGTCTTAAAAAATTGAATATATCACCATCTTTCTCTCTCCAAATATGTAGGCTAAACATCTCCAGACTTTCAACCATTCCTCACATCCAAATTCCTTTTTTCAATTAACTATGGCTTTATACTAAATGTAATGTCAAAAATTTAGCAAAAATAATTATCTAGTCTCCCACCTAAGGTGGAATGTAGGATGAGAAGCATAAACTCATCTTGGGGTGTGAATCCAAATGTGAATAAAAAGTAAGTGGAATAATATAGTTTGGTCAAGAGCAAGCCCTTGTGGGTTCCTCCACAGATAAGAACTAAGTATAAATGAAAAAGTGGTGCTATAAGAGATTATAATGGGCTACATGCTGAATTGACAAGCAGAATCATACATCATAAATTCAACTTTATACCACCATATTGCCAGTGACCACATCCACAAGAATACAAACATATGTTCGTTAACTATTAAGTGCAACCAAAGGGGCTGGGGATATAGCTCAGTTGGTAGAGTGGCTTGCCTAGCATGCACAAGTCCCTGGATTCAATCCCCAGCACCACACACACACACAAAAAAAAGAACAGCCTAAGTTAAGCATTCTTTAATTGCCTAAACATCTAAACCAAGTATGGTTTTTATTCGACAATAGTGTTTTATCATGTATAAGTCAAAAATATATATTGCAGCCTTACAACCAAAATTTTTTAAAAAATAAGATGCTGGACACTGATATATAGCAAAGTATTTAACCAACATGTATGTACCAGTTTTGCTAATTAAATTAGGGTGCTATAACCCATCAATCCTAAACTATTTTTAAATGAAGATTTCATTTCTAATTCTTACCTTGAGTATTGAGGTAATAGTGTTTCCACAATGGTCTTAACTTGTGTTTTCCACCTACATCCCAAATAGTGAATTTTAAATTTTTATATTCTACAGTTTCCACATTAAATCCTGTTTAAAAAAAAAAAGTTACTTTAATATAGTACTTTTATACAGTACTTCTATTAAAAAGTTTCTTCTATAGAGTTTACAATGAATGATATATCAAACATAGGCAACAAGAATTCTGCATGTAACAATAACTACTGAAGCCCAACCATCTCCATACCTAGACCTGCATGGGGAATGTAAACCTTAAATAGCTGCTAGCCTGTACAAGGTTCCTTAAGACCCTGGAATCCATGTATCTGCCATCTGCCAGCTTTGCACCAATACTTTATCCCTAACCCTCAGCCAGGGTAACCAATCCTCTATTTCTTCTAACTGTCCCACCAATTCTCTGTTCCTTCTTACTACAGCAACATCCACATTTCAACCCATAGCAACTGAATCTTGCACTGTTTTTTTTTTTTTTCTCCAAAATGTTGTTGGTTTCAAGGCAGAAAAGAGCCCAACTGTACAAAAATCAAAGAAACCCAGAGAACTCAGCTGTAATCAGGATTTGACTATAAAATGTTTAGTAAGGTTAAAAAAAAAAAAAAAAGGCAAATTTATACTTACCAATTGTTGGAATGGGCTGCATGAACTCATCCTGTTTTAACTTAAACAAAATAGTAGTTTTTCCAGCACCATCTAATCCTAATGTAACAACTCGAATTTCCATTTTCGGTCCAATGTGAACTCTATTGTCCTTTAATTTAAAAAAAATTAAATCTTTTAATTTTGATAAGTTAGAAAGTAACAGCATTTGCACTTTTTTCCTTACTTATACAGCACCTTTGTTTATTATTTTCATCTCTCTTATGCATTCCTCAACCAAATGCGATCTGAGTTATATTCCTCAAAAATCCCCTAAATCTAATTTTCTCAAGGACATGAATTTCTCCTAATGGCTAAATCTGTCCATAGTAAAACTGACCACTCTGATTTTGTATATTTTTTTAAATACACATATCTATTAATTTTCCCAGAATTTCTAGTTCAACCAAATCTTCTTTCAAAACAATTCAAATTCAAACCAAACTATTAAAAATTAAACTGCTATTTAATTTCCAAAAATACCTTTTGTTAGTATTTTCCTATATACACACTGGCTAACATATACAAATAAAACAAATACAGGTATTAAGAACAAACTTTATACAGTGCAACTAACATTTTTCACTCAAAAGCATATTATGGAATCCTTGGGGTTTTGGGTGTGTGTGTGTGTGTGTGTGTGTGTGTGTGTGTGTGTGTGTGTGTGTGTGTGCAGTTTCCTAGGAATTGAATCCAGGGATGCTTTATCCCTGAGCTAACATCCCCAGTCCTTTTTTTATTTTTATTTTTTATTTTGAGAGGCTCTCATTAAGTTGCTTAGGGCCTTGCTAAATTGTTGAGAGTAGCCTAGAACTGGTGATCCTCCTGCCTCAGCCCCCCAAGTCTCTAGGATTACAAGTGTGTACCACCATGCACAGTTGGAGTCCTTTCATTTCAATACATACAGACAAAAGTTACTCTCTTAAATATTTCACTATATTCCTTGAACTCACAATTTAACCAATTTCCAACTGTTAGATTATAGATAATTTCTGATTTTTTGTTATTTACAAAGAATGCTATAATGAACATGCGTGTATATGTTTCTAGCTGCAGAACCTCTCTCAGTTCTCTCATTTATAAAATAACAACAAAATGGTATCAAATTTACACAGGATTGTTGCCGGGATTAATTTTTTAAACTATTCTTTACCACAGTTCCTGGCATGTAAGTATCAGAAATTATGTGTCAGAAATTATTTTGGTTCCTCTTTGGGTTTTTCTTTTCTTGGCTTTTATGATAGAAAATTTTCTTGGTTTTTACATGCTTTTCAGACTCTTCTTATTTTTCTTTCACTCACCTCTTAAATGTTGGCATTTTGACATTTTATATGAGACTTCCTTTTTTATTCTTTGTACTCTATTTTATTCCATGAGCTTCAATTATGGAATATGTGATCCCAAATCTATACTCAGTTCAGCACTAAGCCTCAAAAATAAAATAATATATAAACCAGAATATCACTGTGATAACTCTAGAGAACAACTGAGAAGCTACAGCACTCTGGTCAATAAAAAACCAAGAAGGAAGCTAGCTACGTAGCTCAATGGTAGAGAACCTGGCTGGCAAACACAAAGTCCTAAGCTGGATCCACAGCACTGAAAATATACACATACATTCATAGCATACATACATACATACAGTCAAGAAGGCATTCCAGTGAAATGGACATTCTGAACCTTGCCCATTCCCTTACTGGAAATAATAAGGTGTAAACAGGTACAAAACACTAGTAGGCTAAATTGGACAACAGATTAAAAGGACTATACAACATGACCGCATGGGATTTATATCTGAAAGGCAAGGACTACTCAACATGAATCAATGTAATTAGCAGAATGAAAGACAAGAAAAACATGATGATCTTAACTGATGTAGATACAGTATTTGACAAGATTCAATACCATTTCATAATAAAACAACAAACTAGGAATAGAAGAAAACAGAAAATAGGCATGCTCACTCACTCCTGCTCATGTGTCCTCTTCTCTATATATGTATACACACATACATATATATACACACAGACACATACACTCACAGAAAGTCCACAGTTAACATCATACTCAATGATGAAAAGCTGAAAGCTTTTCTTCTAAGTCAAGGAATAAAGCAAGGATGCCCACTCTTGTAACTTCTATTCAACATAGTTTTGAATTGATTATCCTAACCAAAGCAGTTAAGCAAGCAAAAGAAAAGGCATCCAAATAAAAAACGAGGACATAAAATTCTCTTCACAGATGACATGATCTAACATGGAGAAAACTCTTAAGAGTCCACAAAAATCTATTACAATGAATTCAGCAAGGATGCAAAATCAACATGCAAAAATCAGTTATATTTTTATACACTAACAACAGTATCAGAAAGAATACTTAAGAATAAACTTAGCAAAGGGGGTAAAAGATTTGTACACTACAAAACACAGCTATAGGAAATTAAAGACATCATAAAAGAACATTCTCAGTTCACAGACTGGGAAAATTAATATTGTTAAGGTGTCAATACTACCCAAAGTGATCTACAAACTCAGTGTAATCTCTATCAAAATTACAATGACACAGGCTGGAGTACAGCTAAGTGGTAGCTTGTTTAACACATGCAATGGTCTTGGATTCAATCCCTAGTACTGCAAAAAAAAAAAAAAAAGTAAAAATAAAATTCCCAATGTTTTTGCAGGGAAAAAAATCAATCATCCTAAGGACTCTCAAAGGACACTGAATTAGCTAAAACAAATTTCAAAAAGAACATAGTTGGAAGACTCATACTTTCTGAATTTAAAATATTTTACAAAATTATAGTAATGAAAATCCTGTGGTACAGACATTAAGGCAAGCACAGACAAAAGAATAGAAAGCCCAACAAGGTTGTCAAAGATCAGTTAGTGGAGAAAATATAGTCTCTTCAATAAATGTGCTAGGGGAAACTAGATATCCATATGCACATACAAAAATTAATTCAAACCATAAAACTTCTCAAAGAAACCAAGATTCATGACACTGAATTTGACAATAATCTTATGGAACATGACACCAAAAGCATAGGACACAAAAGCAAAAGTGAACAAATGGGCTTATATCAAACTTAAAACTACATAAAAGGACAGAATCAATTGAGTGAAAAAGCAAAAAAAGCAATCTACAGAATGGAAGAAAATATTTGTAAACTGAAGATTTGACAGGGGATTGGTATCATATATAGTACACCTACAATTCAAAAACAAAAATCAAATAACTCAATCAAAAATGGGTATATTATTTGAATAGACACATTCAAAACAATATAAAAATGACCAACAAAAATATGAAAACAAGTAAATTACTAATCATCAGAGTAATGCAAATCAAAACCAAAATAAGATAAAACCTCACACCAATCATGATAGCTACTATCCAGAAACAAATGGAGAACAACAGATGTTGATGAAATTGTGGAGAAATTCCAACTCTTGTCCACTGAAAGTAAGATTGTAATATTGAAAACAGAATAATGAACTGGGCATGGTGGCACTCGCCTGTAATTCCAATGACTCGGGAGGCTGAGGCAGGAGGATCACCTCAGCAATTTGGATACCATCTCAAGGAAAGAAACAAACAAAAAAAGGACTGGGATGCAACTCAGGGATTAAGTGGTAAAGTACCTCTAGGTTCAACCCCCAGTACTAAAAAAGAAAACAAACAACAACCAAAAATGGGTGGAAAGGACAAGGTTAGAAGCCAGACTTCTCTGAAAGACCATGTTTTGACTCTAAACCATGTAAATTTTCATATAATTATAGTAGAAAATTATTGTTTTAAAAAAACTCTTCCTAAAAATAGAAAACAAAATGGAGCTCATGAACCTTTTCTAATCAAGGCGAGCCCACTATTTAAAAAAAAAAACGACAAATATATCAACAAAATGCCAAATCTGGACCTTGTTTGAATTCTGGATTCTTTCTCAAAACAAACTGTTAACACAAGACAAGGGATGTAGCCCAGTGTTGCAGCACTTGCCTAGCATGCATAAGGCTGTGGGTTCAATCCCCAGTAGGGAAGAAAAAAGAAAAAAACTTAATAATTTGGAAAACATCTAGGAAATCTGAATACTAAATGCATAGTTGATAACAGTGAAAATATTAGAAATTTATTTTTAAACTTCTGGGTGAAATTTTGGTTAATTTCTTAAAAAGAGTTTAGAGTTACACATTAAAATATTTAGTATATGTAAGATATAATATATGGATGAAATAATGTTAGGATTTGCTTCAAAATAACAGATGACTTCATACAGAGAAGGAATAATAAGTTTATACTTGTTAAACTGAGTGATGGGTATAGGAAAATTCATTATATCTTATTTTTCCTATTTTTCTACTGATAAAAAAATTTTCTTAGAAATGCTTGCTACCCACATTAATACACATTGAATATATGTATTGAATTACCAAAATGTACTTCATGAAGATATACAAATTTTCAAAAATTAAACACTATTTAAAAAGTAAACCAATTCTACTTGAAAGCTGGAGGGGAGTTCTTAAAAATCTTTTAACTCATAAATTTCCCAGTTCTCTCCTCAAGCTGATTATTATGAAATGTAAATCAACTGTAATTTTCCAGAAAATATCCCTAAAAACAAAGTATAGTAATTACCTTTGTAAAAGTGACAGGAATGCTGGCATCCAACTGAATATGATCTGCAACCTCTGTAAATTGCTGCTGCTGTTTCTGCAAGGTTTCTAATAACCTTTTAATTTCCTGTTTTGCCAAGACAACTCTACAATCATCCTAGAAAGGGGAAGAGAGTATTTCTCATAAACTTTTTCTTAAAGAAATAGAAACTTACCATCATCAATTTGCAATTGAAATTCATTTAACATATAGTATTCAAAGTTAATTTAAAAGTAAATTTTAAAAACACAATAATAACAGGGCATTAATAATAACTTAAGGGCATATCAACAGATAAATGAATAAATTGTAGTATACTCACAAACAGAAGACTACATTACAATGAGAAACAACTACATGTGATATGAATTTCACAAATATGGAGTAACAGAAGACATGGCATAGAAAGTTCATACAGTATGATTCTACTATGTTAACTATCAAAACAAGTAAAAATAAAAAAGTCATGAAGGTTTCTCAAAATATAAAAATAGGAGACTGGGGTTGTGGCTCAGCAGTACAGCACTTGCCGAGCACATGTAAGGCACTGGGTTGGATCCTCAGCACCACATAAAAATAAATAAATAAAAATAAAGGTATTGTGTCCAACTACAACTAAAAGTAAATATTTTTTTTTCAAAAATTAGAACTACCATACAATCCAACATTTCCACTACTGGGTATATATCTAAAGGAAATTAAATCAGTATGTTAAACTGATATCTGAACTCCCATATTTTTAAAAAAATTTTTAATAATATTTATTTTTTAGTTGTAGTTGGACACAATATTTATTTTATTTATTATTTTTATGTGGTGATGAGGATCAAACCCAGGGCCTCACATGTGCTAAGTGAGCACTCTACCACTAAACCACAATCCCAGCCCTGAACTCCCATATTTATTACAGCATTATTCACATTCACCAAGACATAGAATCAACCATAGTATCTATCACATTTTCTTCATGAATGCATAAAGAAAATGTAATGTCTATATACACATGGATACTATTCAGCAATTCAAAGGAAAAAATTCTGTCATTTTCAGCAAGATGGATGAACCTAAAGAATATTATATGAAGGGCAGAAAGCCAAATACCATATTTACACATGTGGAATATAAAAGTATTATTCTCATGGAAGTAGAGAACAGAATGTTACTTACAAAAAGGCTCAGAAGGTAGTGGGGAAAGGAATGAGAAGTTGGTTAATAGGTACAAAGTTGTAATTAGAAGAAATTATCTTCTGGTATTCCACTAACAGCATGGAGGCAACAATGTACATACTTTTCCCAAATGCTTAGGATAGGAATTATTTCAGGTTTTGAAGTTTATAGGATTTTGACATATTTACATGTATTTTACCAGCTGAACATGCCTAATTCAAAAATCTAAAATCTGAAATCAAAACTTTTTCACTGTGTGTTATCACTCAAAAAGACTCAGATTTCAGAGCATTTGGAATTTTGGATTTGTGGATTAGTGATGCTCATCCTCTACTGTATATTTCAAAATAGCTAGAAGAGAGAATTTTAAGGTGATAGATATGCTAACCCTTAAGTGATAACTATACAATGTATACATCAAAACAGCACACTGTAACCTATAGATATGTACAATTATTATGTGTCAATTAAGTATTTAAAAAATATAAAAAATTAACAAATTCATCTGAAAAAATGAAGCTAAAACCTCAATTTCACTTACATTAACATAATGAGATAATACCATGTCATTAACACTTGCCAGCCATATTGCCACAATGCTTAACAAAAAGAATGCTGTTAAATATTTCAATAACTATGAACATAATTTTTCTTTTTAAAAAAAAAGTTTTGTAGTTGTAGGTGGACAGAATGCCTTTATTTTATTTGTTTATTTTGATGTGGTGCTGAAGATCAAACCCAGTGCCTCATGCATCCACTGAGCTATAGCCCCAACCTATGAACATACTTTTTCATAAAATAAATATAAAAATACTTTTCAGTACTCAAGTAAACACAATTTAGGACATGATTCCATTCTAAATTTGCTATTTAATCACCCATCATGAACTGAACAAGTATTTATTAAGCTCTACCTATAAATAAAAACTATAGAGATACAAAGATGAAAAAATACACCCAGACAGCATCTAGGATGAATATGCATGCACTATCATTCAAGGTCAAATCAGAAGCTACATCTCACACTTATTTGAACACAAAGAACTTAATATGAAGAACTGTGAACTAGATGTAGTTATTAACTAGATAAGTGAAAGAGTAGGCAGGATGAAGGTAGCAACCCTAGGAAAAGGGCTAGGGAAAAAAAGGAAGATGATAGAATCATGAAAACTTAAGACACTCAAAGAAGGGAACAGACATCTAAGAAACTCAGCCTCCTCATATAAGGACTGATATTTACAGGAACTCCAATCAATGAGAACCCACAGGAAACTGCTTCCTGCCTTCCAGCTTCACTCTAGGGCCCTGTACTGGCAGCACCTAACATGGAACCAGCTGACAACAGATGTAGTTTAGAGTTCTAACACCAGCCTCACAAAGCAAATGGTAAAAAGAGTAGAACTGGAGTTGAAAGAAAATATATGGCATACACATTAATTATTACAATTCAATGTGATAAGAATTAAACAACTCTAGACTGATCAGGTTACAAGCTGGCTACACTCATGTAAGTGTGATCAGAAATTTAAGAGAAAAAGCTCTACAATAGCAAAAGGTTTAATTTATCATAACTTAAAAACAACATAATTATTGGAAGCACATCAATAAAGACATGAAAGACTGCAGCCTTTCTGAAATTCTGTAGGTAATAGCTATCATTATATTTCCCACTTATGAAAGCAGATCCAAAACAAAAATGTGCAAGACTGACGTTTTTATTAGAACAGTGAATCTCATTTATTAAAAAGTAAAAAATCTACAAACTAGGAAACAAATTGCTTATGATATCTCAACCATCACAAAACATATTTGTTGTGACACTGAAGTTAAGAACCACTGAATTAAGGCAGGGAATATATGCTAGAGAGGCACCCAAAAAAAGACCAAGGAAGAGAAAACTTCAAAAAATAAATATTTGAGCTGGACCTAGAAGGAAGAGAATTTCACTAGCAGAAAGAAAGATACAGGCATTCCCAGCAGAAAGAATAGCATATGCTTCACAGAGAAGAGGAAAGAGTTGGCGTGACTGAATAAAGACAAGTTAGAGAGTTCCTATAGCTCTATGATGGAGAAGGCTCATGATATGGTTGGTGGAGCAATTTGAAATTGGATCACATTCTAAGCACAATGGTAAAGAATGCAGCAAACCCCAAATATCCATTAAATAAATATAATAGACTAGTATGTATCTCTGACAATTACCTAGTTAATCTTATTACTACAGTTCTGACCACATTAAACCACCTACCTGCTGCAAAGTCTTTTCACAATGGAGACAGGCAGTTGAAACCTGGGACAAGAGAATAGTCATATCTTCTTGTTGCTGCCTGAGCCATATCAGTTTTTCACGAACATGAGCATCAACCACACTTAGAGCCATTTCTTCTTGACGACACAGAGTTTCATGTAGATCAGAAAAATAAGCTCGAACACATGATCGGGCATTCTCTGCAGTACCTGGTACCTACGGGGGTGAAAAATGAGTTTTAAACTAATGTAACCTTCACAAATATATTAAAATTTTAAATACCATTTATGTCCCATAAATTCCAAAATTTAAGTTTCCACATTAGACTTTTTTCCTCTCAAATATGACTTTGAATATCCAACATTTTATAAATGACATCTCAAGCAAAATAGAATACCTAATTTCTAGTTTCCTCCAACCCCAAACCTAGTTACCTCCATCTAAGAAAATGGTAATTCCATCCTCCAGGTTGTTAAGCCGAAAAAAAGAAAACAGGAGTCATCCTTAACATCCCTCTTTCGTGTCCCTCAATAAATTCTGCTGTCTTCAAAATCCATCCAGAATTTTTACGCAAATACAGGTCTTTATTAATTCAGGGAGTAACAGGTTATAACAGGTTATAACTTCAATATCTATAACTTTACATTTACCCTTTCATTAAACTAGGGTTAGGATTAGTACCGGATAGCATTATATACTATCTGTCCTGAAGGTGATGGCTTATCTCAAATTAACCCAGATTTTTTGTAGAGGCAGTACCTCTGTAAAACACTAACAGGCAACAGTTATAAAGTTTATATGGAAAATACAAAATGAAAGTAACAGGGCAAAAATATATTCAGTTTGTGTAATAGCTATGAACCAAGAAAAATGATTTTAATCATCCTGAACCTTTACTTAGTTATATATTATAGCACCTGTTTGAGACCACAGAAATCTTTACAAAAAATATCAATCTTGGGGCTGGGGTTGTGGCTCAGGGGTAGAGCGCTTGCCTAGCATGCTTGAGGCACTGAGTTCGATCCTCAGCACCACATAAATGCAAAATAAAGATATTGTGTCTACTTAAAAAAGTAAAAAATAAAAATTTTTTTAAAAATCAATACTTTGAACACAACTTTAAATGAGCTAAAGTTTAGCCTACTTCAGAGCCATTTTAACATGGAGTAAGGTGGGAAGCAGAGACTTATCTCAGGTAAAATGGGGCTCTTCACAAACAACACAATGCAACATTACCTCTGAAACATGAATCAAAGAAAAGCTAAAAGAAGTCAGGCGAGGTGGCACATGCCTGTAATCCCAGCAGCTCAGGAGGGCTGAGACAGGAGGATTGCGAGGTTCAAAGTCAGCCTCAGCAAAAGTGAAGTGCTAAGCAACTCAGTGAGACCCTGTCTCTAAATAAAATACAAAATAGGGCTGTGGATGTGGGTCAGTGGTCAAGTGCCCCTAAATTCAATCCCAGGTACCAAACAGAAAATGGCTAAGAGAGCTTTTAACTTTCTTTTTGTGTAAAAAGTAGCAGAATACTTCCATGTTTTACAATGTCACCTTTAAACAAATCAAGCTCTCCTTATTACCTTCCAAAAATAAATTTAAATTCCTATTTCACTGTGAAGAGCAACTTATTGATAACAGCCATAAAATATCAAATGACATGAATAAATACCAATTACATTTGTTATTTTTATACAAATTCAAGACTATTGCTACAGATCATTTTAGTTTGGCAAACACCAACTTGGTAAAGTGCTTTATGTTTAACTAAGCTTTATGTTTAACTAAGTTTAACTTTTGAAATACAATTCAGAATACAAAACATACAATAACAATAATCACAGGTCTGCATGAGTTAACAAAAACCAAGGACAGCCTTAAATCTCTTATACATTTAGGAAACAGTGTTAATGATCAGAAACTGACTTAAGTCAAAGCAAAGAGATATAAGACAGGTCTTCAAATGACAATGGGGCCCTTCTATATCAGACACAATGTATAAAAGAGAACACTTACTGGTTATCTTGCCAATAAACTTACATAAACTTTCATTTTATAAACTTTTACATAACATTTAGGCAAGGCTTAAACTGGTATAATTCTCAGATGCATACATAGACCTAGTGTTATGGATTGAATGTTAGGTGTCCTTCCAAAAGCTCATGTATGAGTCAATGCAAGAAGGTTCCGAGGAGAAATGACCAGGTCATGAGAGTCTTAACCTAATCAGTAAATTATTCCCCTGATAGGGATTAACTAAGTCGTAACTGAAGTGGTAGGATGTGGTTGGAGGAGGTGGGGTTTGGGTCATGGCTTTGAGTACATATTTGTATCTGACCAGTGGATCCTTTCTTTTTGCTTCCTGTTGATGTGAGCTGCTTCATTCTGCCACACTCTTCCAACATGACATTCTGCCTCACCTCAAGCCCCAAGGAATGGAGCTGGCCTTCTATGGACTAAGACCTATGGATCCATGAGCCCTCAAATAAATTTCTTCCTCTACAATTGTTCTGATCAGGTCCTTTAGTCACAGCAGTGAAAAAGCTGACTAAAGCACCTAGTCAAATATATTTAGGGTGTCAACTATATTGTTATACTCTAAATAACAGTTTTTTTTTAACCAGATACAAAGTAATCATTTAAGACTTTAAAACAGGTACAAGCCCTAATTCATTTAAGACTATTTCCCCAAGTAATGAAACCTAACAAATACAAGAAAATTATCCTGATGGATAAGAGCAGATCAACGTTTCAAACTTTGCTTCATATCAGTACATAAAAGTTCAAATAACTTTAACTGTGCTAATTAATAGTCAATTTAATCACAAACACAAACTAATTGAGACTGACCTTCCACAAACCTTCTGTAACATTACTTAAATATTTACAACTTCTTCACATCTTAAATTTTGCCCTCTTTCATCTTGGACTTTAGTACAAGACTATTACTTTACAGGACAATATATTTTCTCATCCAAAAACATTTCTTTTATCTTCTAATTTTCCATACCTACAACTTTCTTTTATCTTTTCTAGTTCTGGACCCTTTCTTAAATTCATATCTGAAACAGAGCTTATGAATGTTATCTGTGTGTCTGATTTACACAACAAATTTCACCTCAGGAGAGGGCTGGACAATGCAGCATCTACAAAAACTGTGCCTTAATCTTTTTCCTCCCAGGTTGCATTCAAGGGGTTGGAACACAGGATATATATATATTTTTTTAATTTAATATTTATTTATTTATTTTTTTAGCAGAAACAACATCTTTGGTTGTATGTGGTGCTGAGGATCGAACCCGGGCCGCACGCATTCCAGGCAAGCGCGCTACTGCTTGAGCCACATCCCCAGCCCCACACAGGATATTTTTGAGCCTGTCTCCATTATCATTATCACAATGCCATCAAATTTAAGCAAGTTCCCCACTGTAAATTGTACCCAGAGGCTCCTTTTGGGCATTTTTCTTATACTAGTCATATTAATAAGCAATGGAGGAGGCCCTTTCCATCATTTTCTTTAGGCTTCCTTGAAGATCCCTTTGTAGTGGCTGCCTACAAAACTCAGGTTGGCCTTAGTTTCTGTCTTTTTCATTTTTTGTGTATAGTTATTTATTTTGCTAGTCTCCTAGGCATTTAGTGTGATGGGATACTGTTATAGCAAGAATTGCTCTACCTCCGTCATGAATATACCCTGGCCAAATGAGTGTCCTGTAAGATCTTTAAAGGAGAGACTATTCCTGCCCCCAAGTCATAAACTGATAATGCTAAAATCTATAGCCACATTCTTTGTGACCAGCAGCCCACCTTCCAAGGGCAAAAGGAGCTGAAAGGAAGGGCAGAAGGCAGGTTTTCTTTGGCCATTATTCTACATCCCAGGCAGCTTTTCTAAATTTTTTTCCCCCCAGTTTAGGGCTAGTGTCCTTGACCACAGTGAGATAATTTATGGCTGCCTGGGGCCAGGCTGAGAAACAGTATGGGGTATGCCAGCACTGGGTTTAAAAGATTTAAATATTTTTAACCCTGTCTTCTGGTGTTCTGCTATCCTTGCACACAAGAGGCAGTGCCTCTGGGCACATTTAACTTAGTTCCTGATGGTCATACTCCTTATCATGCAACTGCATAAATGCCTGTACATAATCTCTTTCATGTACTTTATCTCTAACAGACCAAATTCAATGTCAAGATTGTACAGTAATCCAGAAAAACCACTCAAAGGCTTATGCCTATAAGCCAAGATCTCTTTGCACAAGAGACTACCAGTAAGATCAATGCAGCATGGCCCATGTCTTAAAAGGGCCAGTAATAAGACAAAAAAAAAAAAAAAAAAAAAAGACGAGAGGATAAAAGTCCAGACTGTTATGTAAGTTTTCTCTTTTATCCCTTCCTCCATTTTTCAGATCTTTAAGATAAACCTTCCCACCCTTACCCTAAATTCTCACCCTGTTTCCTTTGCCCTGGTTCCCGTCTTCAAAAATGCTCTAACCCTCATTTTAAAGCATAAAAAAGCCCTCATGATGACACTTTTCTCTTCTCTGATCATGGATCACTGTACCCAGACCAAGGAAGGCCAATCTCTTCCAACACAGAGAGCTTCTTTAACTTGTCTAGACTCCTACCAGTCCAAGAAGCATCTGCTGCCTCATTCTCACAGGCCCTTTTTCTAATTGTATACTATAATCTACACTATAAACTTTCGCTAGATTTCATACAATCTGAAGGTTTTCTTATTCTGTTCCTTTGGAGCTCAAAGCACCCTCTTCTACTACTTAGTATATACAAATTTATTTAGAAATTTTAAGTTTCTTATTTTTGGAGCTATGAGAGGGGAATGGCAAGAAAACAGATTAGAGAGATAAAGAACAAGTCATGTGAAGTCATGTGAAGGATGAGACGAAACCCTATTCCCATACCTCCACTGACTGAACGTAAATATTTAACAATACAGTTTTACATACTTTCTATTAATATTCATACCATAGTACATTCAAATCAAACTTCTAAATAGATGTATTACAATTTGCTTAGAATTTAAAGGCTAAATGGCAAAATTCAGGGGAGGGAAAAAAAGAGTATGTAAGTTTATCTTACATAATTAGCTGAAAAATAAATTCAAAATACAGTAAATACAATTTAATAACAATCTCTCATATACCCTGAAGGAGGAAATATTGGATTTGGAGGGGTAATCACTATGTCCAAGTAATCACCTCTTTGGAACTTCTATGTGGAATCTTTCTGTAAGATATGATGCTGCCAATCTCCCCCCTTTCCTAGATGCAGGTCTTTTAAGTTTCATAAAAACAACTAAGAAACTGAAGCTCTTCTTCCTAGCTCTGAGTAGACTTCCTTTAGTAGTCAGTCCTTTCAAGGTTGCATCCATCAAAGTGTATCTGCAACCATATGTTTGTGCTGGAGAACTCCATTCTGCAGTGGTGGCTATCACTGCTCATCAAGACCAAGGGCACCAAGCAGGCATGTTTTCTTGTGATCAAATGGCTTCTCAAGCACTTTCCTAATTTTTTTTTTTTAATAATTTGACTCCACTGCCATTTTCCTCCTTCCACCAGCAAGATGCTCACCCTGACCTCTGACCCTTGCACAAAGTCCTACATCCAGAATTTGATCATGCCTCCACTTCAACAGCCAAGCAAGCATTATCACCTCCCATCTGATTATTATGGTAACATTCAAATTGGTCTAATTGCCTGACCCTCCAAGTTACTTATCCAATCAACACTAATAATCACTAAGACTATCTACTCTACATCTTTAAAATATAAAATCTATCTCCTTTTCCATTCTTAATATCATATTATTATAGGCCATAAATATCCCTGAACTCAATTTCAACAATGTCCTACCAGGTCTTCCTGCTTCCAATCTTCTTGTTCTTCTCACAATTCATTTTCTACATTTAAGAGCAATCTTTTTTGTTTGTTTTTGTTTTGTACTCAGAATTGAATCCATGGGCACTTAACCACTGAGCCACATCCCTAGCCCGTTTTTGTATTTTATTAGAGATAGAATCTCGCTAAGTTGTTCAAGGCCTTGCTAAGTTGCTGAAGCTGGCTTTGAACTCAAGATTCTCCTGCCAATAATTTATCACAGCTCTTAAGCTAAGTTTCAAACTTAAGATGGTTTAGGAGACTTCACATGATTTGTTCTTTATCTCTCTAATCTGTTAGAACTTTAAATTTCTATATATGTCTAATCCTCATTTCATGCCATCTCATCAAACTCTTCCCTCTCTAGGACAACTCACTCCTCACCCTGCTCTTCTCCCGTATTGAATTCTTCCAAATTTCAGCTTAGACATCACTTCTTTGAGGAAGCCATCCTTGACCTATATGAATTGTTGCCCCTCTTATAAGCTGCCAACGCACCCTATACTTCCTCAACCACCCATACAAAATAGTTGCCATACTACAAACTGTCTCTCTCCCATGATGAATTTCAAGTTTCATGAAGATAAAGACTTTTTTAAAACTGTACTTCCAATGACCACTGTGATATTGGCACATTTTAATTCTGGAATACTTCTTAGAAGGTTATAAAGTGAGAATGAAAAAGAGTAAGAAGAAGAAAAAAAAATCCATACATGTTCTGTGTGAGCCATTCCAATTCCATCTTCAACTATTTGTTCACCGCCTTCAATGTGCTGAACAATTCCAACTAATTTTCTGGAATAATCTGAGATTTCTTCAGTGAAGGTCCGTATACAGTGAGCCATATCTAAAATTGATGCTCGGATCTGGTTAGCTTCTGGTTCCAATACTGAATGCTACAATACAACATAATTACAGAAGAGAATTCACAATTTTGACTACATAAAAAATTAATTAACTCCCTCTTTGAAAAAAATAAAAACACATCAGCCATAGGTGCTTTTAAACAGGAAAAAGTATGGCATAAGGTAAAAACAAAAATTTTTTTTTACTTTCATTTTTCATTCCTTCATAAAATAAATATACTACAAAGAAATAATTCAAAATTTGTAAGTCCATTTATTGCTAGACAAGGCTACCTCTAAAATTATATCATAAACAACAGTTCATTAACAAACATAAATAATACCTTAAAATCCAACATATTATGAAAACACAAAGAAGTTTTGTTTCCTGAATCTAAGATATTTCTCAGTAAAGAAAGAATAATGAGGTGTCTCTGAAATATTTATGGCATTCAGGATTAAATCTTTCATTTTTTTTCACGTTACCCAGTCCAACTCATCCATCACGTAACTTTTCTTTAGTTCTCCTTTTTAGCATAAAGAACCAGATCATTAAAAAAAAAAAAAAAAACCCAGATCATAAAAAACAAGGTCATACCTTATGACCTTGGTGTTTTCCATATTCTTTGCAGACACAACACATAAGGGGGCTAGTTTGACAACCTTCTTCCAAGCAAACAAACTCAATGGCATGCACCTGGTGTTGAGAGCACATGGTTTTCTCATGAGGTTTATCAGCCAGAGGCACTCGCCTGTGCTTTGCTAATGTCTTCGTAGAATGAGTAACTTGAGAGCACTCTGAGCACAAGTGAGTTGCACACACAGTGCAATATACAGATGCAACATGAGCTTCATCTTCATCACAACGAATGATGCTCTGATAAACAAAAAAATTAATGCCTTGAAACTGAACCCAACTCATTATAACATGGCAAATTTTGAAATATAAAACCCCAACTTTTATTTTTAACTCATCAGTCTTTATACACAGTATACCTTAAGATGATTATACGACCTCCTACAACCAAAGTGTTATTTACTATGATTAACTAAACTGTGATTAAACTCATATTGGTTTGGTTTGTTAAGCCCAGTTCAGGTGCTCAGTCCAAATCCACAGCCTCCCACAAATCTTATTTACAATGAAAATATGCTGGTAATTGATTACAAAGGTTATTTGTTATTCTTCTGAGAAAGTATTCATTTCCGTGGGTGAGGAGCTACTTCCAAGACTAATTACCAAAAAATGTTAAAATTTAGAGGCCAAAAATAAAACTTGTCATGGATACACTCTTGTCCCCCAACTCTGGTGTCAGAGGTAGAACCCAGGATCTCATGCATATTAGATAAATGCTCTACAATGAAGCTATACCCTTAACCCTCTCATGGGTCCAATGATCTCTTCCATTAAATTTATACACAAGAAACTGAAACATAAAAAATTACAAGTCTTCTTTAAATACAAAAAAAGTCTGACACTAAATATGACCCCACTGCTTTCAATATTATTTGTCATGATCATGTATAAGAAGGCTGGCAACACAATGTTATTTAGGTAACCTGGGAGTGTGAAGCAGAATAAGCTTTTTTTTTTTGGCAGCAGGGGGATACTGAGGACTGAAGTCAGGGGCACTTGGCCACTGAGCCACATTCCCCAGACCTATTTTGTATTTTATTTAGAGACAGGGTCTCACTGAGTTGCTTATTAGCACCTTGCCATTGCTGAAGCTGGCTGTGAACTCCCAATTCTCTTATCTCAGCTTCCTGAGCCAATGGGATTACAGGCATGCGCCACCACGCCTGGCGCTAGCTGTGAACTTTTGAAAACACAGACACTCAGACTCAACCTGAGAAACTTGTTTCAATAGGTTGTAAGTGAAGCCTGGAATTTGTGTATTTTTTCCTAAATATATACAAATACCTTATCATAGCTTATATTATATTGATTAAAGTCTATTATACAATAGACTTAGCTCCACAAGCAAATCTATTACACAATCATGGATAGAAACCACCAGCTTAAGTTAAAAAATAATAAAATCTACATAATATATAAACTTCTAAATATTTCTAATTTCCATGAATTACTAAAAAGCATTTCAAGTGGATGAAAAATAACGTGTCATAATAAAAAATGCCTTGGAATCTTTTGAAGAATAGTAGTAATATTGGAATTGGAAGGAGAGAGATTGAGTAAATTTTTCCAGAAATTAAAATTAGAAAACACATCAATGGTGTCATTCCTTACAACATTAAGTAACAAACCCAAAGTTGAATAGTTTTGTTTCCAATTATAAGAAATTTGTATATGCACCATAAAATACTCATGAATTCTGTTTTCTAGAACTGACAAATAATTTACAAGGTCAACATTAGATAATATTGTAATGTCATTTGAAATAAAAATAAGAGATACAGCATGTGAAAGATCAGCAAAGACTTTAGAAAACAGTGTTTCAGTTTGAAATTCATTTCACTGATTCACTTTAATATAAAGAAATCATCTCTGGGGCTAGGGATATAGCTCAGTTAGTAGACTGCTTGCCTCACATGCACAAAGCCCTGGGTTTGATCTCCAGCACCACCAAAAAAGAAAAAGAAAAAAAAGAAATCATACAATAAAAGCAAAGTGGAAATCAATCTGATTTTTTTTTTCATGATACAAAATACGTGCTTTTAAAGTTCATCACTGCCAGATGTGATGCTGCACACCTGTAATTTTCAGCAGCTTGGAAGATTGAGGCACAAGGATCACAAGTTAAAGCCAGCCTCAGCATCACAGTCAGGCTCTAAGCAACTCAGCAAGACTCTGTCTCAAAATAAAAATGGCTGGGGATGTGACTCAGTGGTTAAGTGCCCCTGGGTTCAATTGCCAGTACAAAAAAAGAAAAAGATAAAGAAAATTCATTGCTGAAATAGTTTACAATTATCTACTACAAATATTCTAATATCTAGAACAGTCTGAGAAAGTCACATTCAGGGTTAAATAAGCTATGCAGACAACTCTTGAAGTGCTAAAAATGTATTTTAATATGGTTAATAGACTTTTACCCAATAATTACCAGACATCTGCCTGTCTGGATTAAGAAAGTGTATCTACATATAATTTATTTTTTTTAATTAACTTTTTAGATGTAGTTGGACACAATATCTTTATTTTATTTTTATGTGGTACTGAAGATTGAACCCAGGGCCTCCCACATGCTAGGCAAGCACTCTACCACTGAGCCACAATCCCAGCCTCTATCTACATGTAATTTTAAAAAGACAGCAGAAGCTACTGCTATTTTTAAGATATTTTGCCTTATAATAAATGAATGGCCTCTTTCATGTAGTTTCTCTTTCTTTTGTTCTACTTTACTGTTGATTCATTTTTGTATCCTTTGCTCTAATGTAGCTTACACATCTTTCTTACTCTTCTATAGTAATCTTACTTTAATATTTTCAAGGAACTCAAGCTTCAGTTTTACTTTTATTCTGTTGGAAATAGTGTTGCCTTCAGAACTCTAATGTAAAGTTGTGTTTCTAGAAAGTTGCTAAAATAAATGAGGTAATATTATGCTATTAATGGTAAATATTTTAAATTAAAGTTTCATTTTTTAACAAATATTTCACCAAGTTCAATCAATACCTCTCCAGATATTCCAATAGCTTCCTCTGCAGCTCCATATTGACCAATATGTCCATTTTGCAGTCGTTCTAAAAGCTCCAATAAGGCAAAATTTTTTTTCAACCCCCAGACACCTGAATCTCCTACAATAAACATAAAAAGCAAAACTAAATGTTAACAAAATGGAATATTAGTCATTTTACCCCATACTTCAATATTAATTACTAAGTCATATGGTTTAGTCATTAATAGTACCTATATTCTGGGGCTGAGGCTGTTAGCTCAGTGGCAGAGCCCTTGCCTAGCATGTGTGAGGCACTGGGTTTAATCCTTAACACCACATAAAAATAAACAAAGGCATTCTGTCCATCTACAACTACAAAAATTTTTTAAAAATAGTATCTAAATTCTAAAAATTTTTAAATTTCCTATTTTCTTTTTATGCCAGAACAACTGTTTTGTTAGCATTTTCTTTAGAAAACAGAAGAATCTTTCAACATTCCAAGTAGAAAAATTTTAAAATTCTGTTTCTATCATTTATTTTCACAGATACTATTTTTTCTTAAATATTTATTTTTTAGTTGTAATTGAACACAATATCTTTATTTGTTTGTTTATTTATTTATTTTTATGTGGTGCTGAGGATCAAACTCAGGGCCTCACACATGCTAGGCAAGCACTCTATCGCTGAGCTACAACCCCAGCCCCTCACAGATACTATTTTATCACTGACTTTTACTACATATAGCAAAATAAGTGCTTTCAAACATTTTTTTACAGCAATCTAAAATAAGAAATACATTCTAGAGCCAGGTGTGATGGTGTACACCTGTAATAACAGCAACTCAGGAGGTTGAAGCAGGAGGAGTTCAAGAACAGCCTCAGCAAATTAGTGAGTCCTAAGCAACTTAGTGAGACCCTATCCCCAAAATTAAAAAATACAAAGGGCTGGGATGTAGCTTAGTAGTAAAGCAGCCCTGGATTCAATCTCCAGTACCAAAAAAAAAAAAGAAAAGAAAAGAAATACAGTTTATATCACAACCCAAAGTTTCTGCAAACTAATATTTACAGCAATGTGCAACACACTGCTATTTTTTATTCTATTTCTTTTTTTTAAATGCTATAGGAACTGGGGTGTAGATCAGAGGTAATGCACATACTTAGCATGAGCAAGATTCTGATTCTGGGATCAATTCCTAGTGGGAGGTAAGGGAGTTATTCACAACAAATTTATTTCATGACCACAAACAAGCTATGAGTAATGTTTGTAAATCACTGTGTAAAAGATACACCCAATTTTAAAAAAATCCAACTCTAAGTACAATGGAAGTAGAATAGCTAAAGGTTAAGATTTTTCTCTCACTCCTTTTTTTAGTCACAGCAGTCAATGACTAACCTCTTCTCACAAAAGAAACAGAGCCTCACTCTAAAGCAAGACAATAATCCTTTTCAGATAAGACTCTAGGCTGGGGCTGGGGTTGTGGCTCAGTAGTAGAGTGCTGGCGCTTACCTAGCATGTGTGAGGCACTGGGTTCGATTCTCAACACCACAAACAAATAAATAAAATAAAGGTCCATTGATAACTAAAAGAAAACTCCAGGCATATGTGAATAAGAACTAACACTTCTTTTCCCCCATAGCAGCCACATAAGGCTCATAAACAAGCATATGTAAACACACACTCTTCCTGAGCCTATAAATAAGACAGATCCTTCAGCAGTTAAAAGGAACATCTGTCCATGGTGAACTTTTATACAAAAAATACCATTTGACATTGCTGCTACCTAATACATGTTCACTAAATGAATAAATATGTAAATGGATAATGAAACCACTGCCTGCAATCTCTCCTCTCTCTTGGCTCTTCTTTCCCTTAAAAAAAAAAAAAAGAAAAGAATAGGAAAGAAAAGGAAAGAAAGGAAAAGGAAGGAAGGAAGGAAAGAAGGAAGGAAGGAAGGAAGGAAGGAAGGAAGGAAAATACACTTCTTGATGTGGTTCTCAAAAAAAAAAAAAGTAGTAGTAGTATACAAATGACCACTTAAAAATATCATCTTCAGTAAAGTAGAAGAGGACCAGGAGGGGAGGAAAACAGTGGTACTGAGGAATGAAAATAACCAAATTTTATTACATTATGTGCATACAGACATGTCCTCTTTTTTTTAATAGTACTGGAGGGTTGAGCCCAGGGGCACTTTACCATGGAACTAAACCCTCAACCCTAATTATTTTTTATCTGGAGAGGGGTCTTAAAGTTGCCCAGGCTGGCCTTGAATTTGCCATCCTCCTGCTTCAGCATCCTAAGTAATTTGGATTACAGGCATATGCCACCATACCAGGATGCATGTATGAATGTGTCACAATGAATTCACACTATTATGTATAATTATAATATACCAATAAAAATTATAAAATGAAATAAAACAAAAATATTCTGATAATAATCCAAATATTCAGTTATTATATAATGAACACATATGATATATACATAAGCTACCAACATATATGCCTAATATCACTTAATAATTCTGTAACTTCAAAACAACTCTATAATCATGATGGGTTAAAACAACAAAAATTTATTTTTTTACCCATTCAACATCTTAGGGGTTAGGGAAGGTAAGAAAAGCTAGCTTGTTCGTCATTGTCCATGGTCTCTATCCATGCCACTGTCTCCAATCACCTGGACCACCTCACTGTAGCAGGGAAAAGAACTTACGTTGCATCATCATTAACCTCCTCTTCATGACTTCTACCTGGAAGTTAACAATTTGCTTCCACTTACATTTCACTTGTTAAATAAGTGTACAGCCATACTTAAATATAAGAAGGCAGGGAAGTGTAAATTTACCATGTGGACAGAAGAAGAGAATCAGAAATATTTCTGATAAGTACTAGTAACTGATATTATCCTTGGACTAGAGAATTCTTATTATGATCTTTAACATTAATGGTAGTATTCTTCTAGAAAAAGGAATAACAAATCATCTTTCTTTTTCATTTTTATACTTTTCAAATTATCTACAATGTGTATATACATTATTTCTATATCACAATTTTTAAAGGTTTTTAAAAGAATGGCATCCAATCACATCAAGAATCACCAACACATATGCCACAGAATTGAAACACAGTAAAAAACTAACACACGATAATTACGAACTCTATCTCTATATAGGACTACATTATAGTAGTTGTAAACAGTGCTACTTCCCTAAAAAAAAAAAAAATGGCAGACTTAAATTATTTTTGGAGAAAATTCTGTTATCAAAAAGAGTAAACTATAAAACTTATATCACATTTTTTAAAAAATTTTTTAAATGTCAATAAATGTTGTTATATCCAAATCCAGCATTCCAAAGCAATAACTTACTTGGAAATATATAAAGCAAAATTTTAAAAGTGATAATGAAACTGAAAAAAAAATATATAAGACCTTTAAACTATTTTAACCAAAAATAAGCAACTAGTTATCACAAGTTACAAACACCTCTCTCTCTGATACTAATAAAAACATGCTGAGACTCAAGTGAAATATCTGTATTTTCATTACTGGTTCATTTACTTGTAAAGAAAACACTGTTTTATTGGATTAACAGATTCAGGCACATAATTTAATCTGTGACAAATACAAAGTTCTCATTTCTTTGAATAAATGTAGTACATATTTCTCAGGTGTCTTAAAGTTCTTCAAATACAAGTATTGAATATAAACATTTCAGAAGATAAAAAAATTACAATTAAGAGTGAGCTTGTTTATATTTAAAAGACTACTTACTAGAAACTCAGATTTTTTAACCCCTTTGCACATTTATAATTTGAAAACATCAAGTATAATAAAGAAATTGTTTTATATGTGACTTGTGTTACATGATTTTTTTCTTTTTCTTTTTTTTGGTACTGGGAAATCCAGGGGCACTTTACCGCTAATCTACTTCCCAATCTTTTTGATTTTCTATTTCTATTTTGAGGCAGAGTCTAAGTTGCCCAGGCTGTCCTCAAAATTGTAATCCTCCTGCCTTAGTCTCCTAAAATATAAGCATTCAACTTATAATTCTCAATCTTAAATCATATAAATAACTTTCATACCTAGGTCTGTTACTTGTCGGTCAAATGGGCAACGTATTGCTCTTCCATGAAGAGGCAGGCGAGTAAGACAGTCATGACAGACTGTGTGGCCACAAAGAAGAAGGCGAGGAACTTTGTCTCCTTGCAAAGAAAAGACATCTTCACAAACTCCACACTCCAGAACCTAATGTTTGGAATGAAAACATATACATTTTAAGCAGTATTAAAAACACATATATTTTAGGGTTTTTTAAAAAGCTGACCTAATACATTGAATTCACCTTGTTACTTTGCTTTTCCATGAATAAAACTGTGTATATGGTAAAATATTGAATCATTTTTAATCATTTATTTGACTGACTTTGCCAAATTACTATTATTTAGAAAAATCTCCCTGAAAATACTAAAGGTTAGGGACAATCATAATGTAAATTACATCATCTTTATCTTTTGAAAACTGAATCTGTAACTGCAATGTATAACATTACTGAAGTTGGGTTCTCAAGCAATTTTTCTGCAACTACCTTACTCAAATAAACCATCATTAAGTTCAATAAATATAATCTAAAATATATGGCAGGATAACAATTACCTTTCTAAATGATAAAGAACTTACAAGAAAAGACTACAAGTAATTTTCAAGTATATTTTAGTGCCTATTTACATTAGATAACGTAAAAGCAAAAAAGCAATCAACTGACACTTTAGAAAATATTTTATCTATATACTTCTAATTACAGGTAAATGACTTGCAAAAAAACATACAATCAAAAGACAGGCTATCAGAATTGGCATGTTCTTCAAACTATGGAACCCACCTAGGTGCCCTTCAACAGATGAATGGTAAATAAAATGTGGTAATACACACACAGGATGGAATATTACTCATCCTTAAAGAAGAATAAAATTATGGCATTTGCAGGTAAATGGATGGACATAGAGAATATCAAGCTAAGTGAAATAAGCAAATCCCAAAAACCCAAAGGCCTAATGTTTTCTCTGATATGCGCACGCTAATTCACAATGGAGTTGGGGGGCACTAAGGAAAAATAGAGGTACTCTGGATTAGGCAGAGAGGAGTGCAGGGAGAGTAGGAGGTTTGGGGGTAGTTCTGAATAAACATTTCTCAAAAGAAGAAATGCAAATGGTCAAAATATATGAAAAAATCTTCAAGATCTATAGCCATCATGTAAATGCAAATCCATCTCACACCAGTCAGAACAGATACTTTTAAAACAAACAACAAAGACAAATGCTGTTGAGGATGTGGAGAAAAAGAAAATCTTAATACAACATTGGTGGGAATGTCAATTAATATAGCCACTACGGAAAAAAGTATAGGAGTTTCTCAAAACACTCAAAATAGATCTACATATGATTCAGCTATACAACTCTTGCATATATTACCACAGGAAATCAAGTCAGTATACAAATGAGATACCTATGTTTACTGCAGCACTATTCACATTAGTAAAGATGTAGAATCAGCTGAAGTGCTCATCAACAGGTAAGCAAATAAAAAATATATGGGATATAAACACATGGAATTTTATTCAGCCATAAAGAAGGATAAAATTCAGTCATTTGCAGGGAAATGGTTGGAACTAGAAGTTTTCATGTTAAGCAAAATCCGCCAGAGAGAGAAAGATAATTATTGCATATTTTCTCTCATATCTAAAAATTCAGGAGGAAAACAAAAGATGACCTGAAAATAGGAGAGAGAATTTATTAGGGAAGGGAAAGAGGACCAGAATGAGGAAATAGAGAGGACAGGGCAAAAGAGGACAGGGAGGGTTAAAAAAAAAAAAATCACAATATAATATGTGCATGTAAGGAAATGTCACAGATAAATCCATTAATTTGTATAATTAATGAGATTAAGTCATTATAACAAAATTTGTTTAAAAACAATTAGAAGCAAAGTAAATATATACCATTACCAAACTGGAAAATAAATGCTAGTGTACTCTTATGCTATAAAACTTGAGCAGAGTAGCAAGAAGGGATTTAGGAAGTTTTCTTGTGTATACACTGAAAATGATTTCACATGAATAAAGCAAAGTGAAAAATGATAAATAGAATATATTCATTTTGTGTTAAAGTGGGAAAAAAGGGTGCGAATATTTTATGTATTCCTACATAAGTATACTATCTCTGGAAGGATACATAGGAAACCAATAACATAGGAATATCGGTTTTCTACGAGAAAGGGTCAGGGAAAAAACACCCATAAATTACACATGTATACGCACAGGTATAATTTGACTTTCCTCTATCCTATTTTTATCCCTTTTGTATCTTTGTTTTGTCTGATTGCACTGGCTAAAATTTTAAGTATTATATGGAATAAGAGTAGATACCTTGTCTCATTCCTGATTTTAAAGAAAATGCTTTTAGATTTTTTCCCATTCACTATGAAGTTGACTACTGATTTGTTGTACATAACCTTTAATATGTTGAGGTTTGATTCTTTCATACCTAGTTTCTTCAAGACTTTTGTCAGGAAGGGATGTTGAATTTTGTCAGAGGATATTTCTGCATCTATTAAGATAATCAGGTAGTTTTTATCCTTGATTCTCTTTATGTGTTGTATTGTTTATTGATTTGTTTATGTTGAACCATCTTTGTGTTTCACTTTATCAAATTTAACTAAACACAGAAAGATTAGCAATACAATTATATATTATAAAAATAAATGCGGGACTGGGGTTGTGGCTTAGCAGTAGAGCACTCACCTAGCACATTCAAGGCCATGGGTTTGATCCTCAGCACCACATAAAAAAATAAATAAACAGCAGCACAATTCACAATAGCTAGACTGTGGAACCAACCTAGATGCTCATCAATAGATGAATGGATTAAAAAAATGTGGCATTTATACACAATGGAGTATTACTCAGCACTAAAATATGACAAAATCATGGCATTTGCAGGGAGATGGATGGCATTAGAGCAGATTATGCTAAGTGAAGCTAGCCAATTCCTAAAAAACAAATGCCAAATGTCTTCTTTGAGATAAGGAGAGCAACTAAGAACAGAGAAAGGAGGAAGAGCATTAAGAAGATTAACATTAAACAGGGAGGAGAGGTGGGAGGGAAAGGGAGAGAGAAGGGAAATTGCATGGAAATGGAAGGAGACTCTCATTGTTATACAAAATTACATATAAGAGGAAGTGAGGGGAAAGGGAAAAAAAACAACAGGGGAAAGAAATTAATTACAGTAGATGTGGTAGAGAGAGAAGATGGGAGGGGAGAGGAGGGAGGATAGTAGAGGATAGGAAAGACAGCAGAATACAACAGACACTAGTATGGCAGTATGTAAAAACGTGGATGTGTAACCGATGTGATTCTGCAATCTGTATACGGGATAAAAATGGGAGTTCATAACCCACTTGAATCAAATGTATGAAATATGATATGTCAAGAGCTTTGTAATGTTTTGAACAATAATAAAAAAAATAAAAATTAAAAAAAAATAAAATGTCTGGCACCTACCAGAAAAAAAATAAATAAATAAATAAAATACAGGTACTGTGTCCAACTACAACTAAAAAAATAATAAAAATAAATAAATGCAATATTTTAATAAATGCTCATATTGTGATACTACAATAAATTAAAATTATTTATGACAATAAACAAAGGAATCCAACTAAAGTTTTGCCTAATTCATTCACATATTATATCTCTGACCCCATCACTATGCTAGATAATACACCAGTTCCCCCCCACCCAAAAAAAAGTACTAGTAAGGGATGGAGAAGAAGAGGGAAGGGGAGGAAACACTAGTAAAAGTTGGACACAGTGGCACACACCTATAATGCCAGCTACTCAGAAGGCTAAAACAGGAGGATTAGCCTTGGGTTAGCCTGAGCAATTTTATGAAATCTGGTTTCAAAATACAATTTTCAAAAACACTGGGAATGAGGTTTAATCATAGAGCATTTGCCCAGCACATGGGAGGCTCTGGGCTCACTTCCTGCCCCCTACCACAAAAGAATCACTAGTAAAATTCTATTCATTAGTAAACCATACAACGATACAAAAATAACTCATGTATCAACTTGTTAAATAATAGAGCAAGAAATTCTTCCTTCAGGATCTATGAATAGGAAATGTAGCTAAACAGTATGAAAAAATTAAATCCTAGATAGGGGAAAATCAACTTAATTTTACATTTCACAAATATTCAAAAGCTTCAAAATTATTTCATACAATGTAAATCAAATTTTTATAAAAGAGGTCATACTTTTAAAAGGACTAAGAATGTTTAGCAAACAAAACAAAAAACCTTTCTTATTCATTTTTAAATGTTAATTATTTTACAATATATCAGATTTTTGTTTTATAAACTTGTTCATTTAACAAAAAGCCATTTTACCCAGTATTAGCATTATGAATTTCAACCTTTACCTTCCAATAAATACTTCCTGCTTTCTGAAAAAGTATTCTTATTGAGAGTTCAGGAACATTTTACATGTTAAGATGAAAATGAACAAGGGATACCTCTTATGAATCAAATTCCATGCTGTAACAAAGGAGAGCTTCATTTGGTACACTTTTGAAAGTATAAGGCAGACAAGGTAACAAAAATAGAAATGGCAATGATACCCATTTGTGAACTTACAAGTTCAAGAATCTGCAGGAATTCTCTACTTAGTAAAGCACAATTCAAAATTTAAATCTCAACCACACAATATTTGTAAATAATGAGGGCTCTCCTGTATCTCAGACTTACTATATATTTACAAAATACCTTCACTCACAAAGGTCAACTGAATCAACAGCCACCAATATTAACTGATACTAAGTTATAGCATAAATATCTTATTTGAAATCATATAACACCAATATTAGAAGAAAAATCATTAGGTACCCATTATTCAAAAAAACCTTCAGAAATTATCTGGCTCAGTGATTCTCAATCCTGTTTGCACATTAAATTCACTTCTAGGAACTTAAAAAATATACTGATGTCAACATAATCGGACTTGAAGGAGCGCATCAATAGTTTTTTTTGAAGTCCTTAGTTACAGCCAAAAATGAGAATTATCAATCTCTTACATTACAGATGAGCCTCAAGGTTACTCTATAGACCATGTGGTCAGTTATCCCTTTCGGGTCTTTCATACTACAATGAAAGGGAAAAATGAGTTCCACATATATTCATTCGATATGGTAGCATTTCGTACATTTAAACGTGGTTAAATTTCAGATTTCAGAGGAATTGTACAGGGCAATTCATAAATACTAGCGTTGATGCTCAGTTTTGCTGCAGCTAGAGAATTCTCAGAAGTTTTGATACTGTATTACAAAGAAGGAAAGCAGCAGCTCAACCAATAATAGATGTATAATTATAGAAGCAGCGCAACAGTGAAAAGCAGACTTTAGAGTCACTCAACCACGGGCTTTTGACATTTACTGTGTTAACCTAAATATGGGTTTCTTTCCTTGTAAAGTGAGATTTAATATCTACCTCATAAGTAGATACTGAGGAGCTAAACACCTAATATAGTACTCGATTTAATAAAAACAAACTGATGCCTGTTGAACTTAATTAAAGCAGTAAAGACCAGTCCAGGTCACTCTTACAGGCCGACAAGGTCCTTTTCACAAATGCACCGGGTGCAGATGCTGACATCTGACATGAGCTGACCACGCAACATGGGGCCAGAGCGGGTTACTGGATCACTGGGGGAGGAGGCGAGACAAGACGTAGAGCCAAGAGCGGCCCAGAGGCCGCGCATCCCAACCATCGAAGCCAGGGCCGCAGCGACGCAGTAGGGTCTCCAGGATGAACAGAAGGGAGGCCGACTGTGGAGAAGAGCGCACGCAAGGTCCCTCACCTTCACCACAGCAGCTCCTCGGCTGCCCTGCCGGCCACTGTCTAGTCCTGCTCCAGGCTTGTTTACAATCAGGGTAGCCATCCTGGGAGGAGCGGCGCAGCAAACCAAAGGCAGCGGCCAGAGCCAGCAACTGGGAGGCGGGGCTGAACCATCTACCCACAGGCCTCGGCGCAAGCCGATGCGCACAGGCGCAGTACGACGGGGGGGGGGGCCCAAGCCTCTCGCCGGCCCCGCCCTCCTCCTTCCGTCAATCATTGGCTGTTTGGCTACCGGGTCTGGCTCACTGGCAATTTTTCTTTTTTCTTTCTTTCTTTCTTTCTTTTTTTTAAATTGAGGAATATGCAGCTGGTGGACGAAGGTAAGTAAATACAAACGAAAAAAAGGGACAAATCAGAAAAAGTTCAAGTATGAAATTTTCCATCCTGTAATAACGCCTCTCCAATTGCAAACCAGATGGGGGTTGAGTGGGGGAAAGGTATTACATCTCCCCGCAGGCAATCCAATTTTTGTATAAGCTACAAATCCCAGCATGCCACTCTCCTTTTTTTTTTTTTTAATTCCTGCACCGTAGACGTCTAGGAGGCTGCGTGTTGGTATCGATAAGAGGTTTCTTGAAGTCGCGATGTGTGATTGTAGATGGACCATATTATGTATAGATCTGTAAGACAGAACGAATGACTGATGAAAAGAAGCTGTGAGGGCCGTAAAGGACGTAGCAAAAAGAGAATTTAAGGTACCACCCCCAAAAGAAGCTGTTGGAAGTGCGTTTGACGACAGATCTTCCCTGTCGCGCGTTTCTCTGTTTTCTTCCGGGTCAGGCTGAACCTCTTCAGACACCGTAGGCAGTGGATCCCGTGCCGGGCAAAATGGAAGTGAATCCCCCCAAACAAGAGCACCTGCTGGCGCTGAAAGGTAAACTTTTGTGAGCCTTACTTCCCTTATTCTGTTTTCTCTCCTCTGTTTCGAAGCCTTTGCCACACAGATCTCGTGTCTGGGCTGTAGGCTTCGTTCTTTCTTTAAGCACCATCCGCCCTAGCACTCCTGCCCTATGCCTTAGGCCAAGCGGGAGGAAGCGATGTCATTTCCTTGCTTTTTAGGGTCCGGAGCCGTTTTCTAGAATGAAGTAGTAGCTGATAGATAACTCTTTCTGATCTGTGCTGTGAGCAAAAGTTGACGTCTCGACCCCACTGAAGAGGTCCCTATGAACTGAAATCACTTACAACAACTGACGTTCAAAGGTTTTTCCTTCTGTTTGAGGTCAGCCATATGGCACTTAGGAGGTTACCTGGCTTCACCTTAAATGTGAAATTAGTGTTGCATGACAGTGGCAGAGATTTACCAATATATGGTACAACTATATATAGCTTATATGTATTAAAACTTACTGAAGTTTACCTCACAGTATTATATATGTGGGAACCGTGTCAACTTTGATTTTCTATGCATGACAATTTTTAGTAAATTTGATGGTTGAATTAGATCATAGCTTAGGAAAAACCAACAGTAAGATTTTTCTGGAATTTCTGTTTTCTGAAACCCTTTATTTCAAATATTTTTAGCTTTATAACATGTATTCTACCACAAATGAACTTTTTATTTCTAAATGCTCTAATATATAGGTTAACAATGCCTCGGAATAAGCTAGGGAAATGCTCATTCGATGTTTGAATTCAATTGAATTGCACTTACCTTCTTTATGGCTTCCATTTTGAGAGACTGTTCATTTCTCCCTACTCCTATAATGTAGACATTAGACATTCCAGAAGCTCACCAATTCTGTTTGTAATATTTAATTTGTAACACTGATGGCTGAAGTTAACAAGATTGTCTCTGTACCTAGAACTAAGAAACTTTGCAAGATTAAATAATATAGCAGCAGTACCTGTAAACTTAGCCTGAGCAGATGATCTAGACAAATAGATTATTTGTGGAGAAAAGATACTAATTGTCATATTCATGTTGTCTCAATCTCACATCAAGTATGTGGACTATATATTATAGTCAGAGGGGTTATGAGATTAGTTACTTGTTAACTCTTAGAATCAGTAATTCTATTGTGACATCAAGACTGAAATCCCCACTCCAGATCATCCTACCAGTTGGAGAACCCTCATCAAGTGGTTCTCTAATTTGGAGGGGAAAGAAATTCAACTTCTTATTTTATTCTCTTCTACAGTAGTTGGACTATGAAAGAGCCTGTATTACAGTCTTACAGCTTTAGGCCTCTTTGGGAAGCCTCACAAATCCCTTGTTGAGCCTATGTACTGGAAATTCTATATATTGTAACTTATTATCAGTGACTTACTTTGGGGCCACCTGAGGACTTCTATGTTCTAAGTCTAGAACTTGTTATTCCTTCAAATTGGAATTCAGGAGCCTTGATACTAGGATCTCAATACTGTACTAGTCTCAATCCAAAGAAGATTATAGCATCCTATCCTGGTTAAAATACAAAGTATAATCATATTCATGTTTTTACTGTTTACTACTGAAAATGAGATATAGTCTTTAAGTAGTCTGTATATTTGTTTGGTAAAATTCATAAAGTTTTAAAGCAGAAAGTGATTTTCTTCCAGATAGATAAAAAAATTACAGAAATTTCATTGTCCTTTACTTCAGACATCTCAAATTTTAAAATATTACATTATATGTATCTGGTACTTTAAGAATCACTAATTTACTCTGTTTCTGCAATAGTTTTGAGAAGGATTTTTATTAATATTAATATTAATGCTTCCAAGTCCTTTATACCTGTTGAGTTAAACATGCTAATTATTAGCATTATTAGGCTGGAAGTGATCTTAATGAACTTTAATTCAAATCCCTTATTTTGGTGAGAAAGGATTTTCAAGTTTATGAAATGCATTCACACTTATCAATAGCACTTTGTTAAAATAGCATATGGGAATTGATTTCCTTTTTCCTTTTCTTCCTGCCTATTTGTATGCAGGCTATCCCTACCATATCTTATTCTTTGCAATACTTCCACTTTAGGTCCTGTTCCTTCTGGTTTGACAAGAGAGAAAGTCTTGTAATAGTAAATTAACATTCTAGCTCTGAAGAGTTCAGCTAAGAAATTTTCTCTTCAGTAAGAGTAAATGGATTATTGCAGAATGACTACAGAAGTAATAATACATTATCGACCTTATGAGAGTGATCCCACACAACTGCCAAAAATTGCAGAAAAGGCAATGCAAGACTTTCCTACTCGTCCATTATCAAGATTTATTCCTTGGTTTCCACATGATGGGTCCAAGCTTCCACTCAAACCTAAAGGATCACCACCTATAATTTCTGGAGAGGCAGCTGAAGATGTGAAACAGTACTTAACCATTTCAAAACATGACATTAAATCACAGAGTTATGATTGCACGGTAGATCTTTTGGAGTTTCAACCTAGTTTGAAAAAGCAGCACTTAATCCAGTCAGACACCCTGAATGAACACCCTGATTCTGGAAATCTGGACAAGAAATCAGAAAAAGGAAAACAACATAAGAGGAGGTCTTGGAGTGTTTCACTTGCCAACAATAATTGTACTGAAAACATTTTTCCTTTGTCTAAAAAATTGCAAGATATTTTAGAACTACTAAATTTGCACTCATTTTATAGAGCAAGATGGACAATAGAACACAGTGTTTGTAACAATCAAACTCTGGAAGACATTTGGGTAAAACTCAATCGAATTATTAGGCATAATGAACTTCCATCTTGTAATGCTACAATTCAAAGACATTTAGGCCAAATATGGGTGTTCTGTGATGTTAAGTACTGTGAATATGTGGGAAATATTCTTAAAAGAAGATTAGCTCTTAACGGAAAAATTAAATTATTTGTGCATAAATGTGGTGTTATTTATAGTATGTGATGAATTCTGATTGTCAAAAAGAATATTTTGAATGATCTGAGTATGAACTAAAACAGTGAAATGAATAAATTTTTTTACTGGTTTTTACATTTTAATTGCTTTTAAAAAATTGATGCTTTCCTATATAGCCTATTAGTCTTAATATTGTGGAGTAATAATTGTGTGGTAATATATGTACAATTTGTGTCCCAGAAATGAATAGGTGTAAAGGTGAATTCCTCAACTTGTTAATTAGGTCAGGAAATTTCTGGATTATTAGCAGTATTCTTTTAAATGAATTGTAATAAAGCATTGTTCATTCTGAATTTGAAGGTAAAATGTTTTCTTTTTATTCTGTTGCTTTTGCAGTGATTAAATTAGATATAGTTATGAATTAAAGTGAATAGTATGAATTTTGATGAATCCCTAAAATCTAAATTGTACTGTTTTTTTTCCTTTACCCACCTAAGGGTAATGACTTTTTTAAAAATAAAACTAAAAATAGTTCAATTGGACATGCTATGCAAGTGGCATGAATGTAGTTCCAAGTCAGAGACCAGCCCAGATTCTTAATGATGTTTCCAATGATAGTATATAACAGCTGATGTGTTGATTTAAAAGAAAGGGACAAAATATAACTTGTCCAAATCCATAAAGTATCTTTAACATTATAATGTCATTTAAAGGAAAGAAGATCAAGTTATTTATTTAAACTAATACAGGTGTGTGTGTGTGTGTGTGTGTGTGTTTTGCCAGAGATAAAACCCCATACCTCATACATCCTGCACAAGCTCTTTACATTTAAGCTATAAACACAACCTCAGTAATTAAGTCTTATTATTAGTGCTGATGTATTAGTTGGCTATTTTTTTATATAGTTTCTTAACAAATTTTTTTAGTTGTAGATGGACACAATGCCTTTATTTTATATATTTTCATGTGGTACCGAGGATCAAATCCAGTGTTTCACATATGCTAGGCCAGCACTCTACCACTGAGCTACAACTCCAGCCACTTATTTGGCTAGTTTTTAGAGTTATTTTAAGTTTTCTATAAGCAGAATGTTATTGAGTTTATATATCACCTCATGAAAATATCCAAAGTGATGAATAAAATAAAAATTCTACAGAAGCATATAAATATGTATTTAGAAATGCAAATGCCTACCTTGGGCTAGGTTGTTAGATATAGCAAGGAAGACAATTATGGACCATCCCTCAAAGAGCTTGTACTGAGTTACCATTCTGTCAAACCATCTCCGTGAGAATAACTAGTAAAACTAGAAAGATGAATGTGTTTGCTTTTGCTTTATAATACGTGTCCAGCATGGTAGGAACTTGATAATGCATGGTAAATGTGCCTTTTGGAGGGACTGTTAATAGCCTGAATTATGATACAATAATGTTTAAAACACAAGCAGTCCACTAATTTTTAACTAAAGAGACAAACTTTTCTTGATAGATTTCATTCTGTCTAAATACTGTTTTGTTTTTACTTCCCTTTTTACTGTCTCAAATGAGACCCTTGTTTAGAAAATAAGCATCATGTGCATGAATGCCTCCAAAAGTCATTAATTGAAAAAAGATGTCTTCAAGACAACTTCTGTGATTTCTTCCTCTTTCATTTCATCATCTTTCTCTTCATTGAAGTTCCCAGAGAAACTTCCTAGAAGTTTAGAATCACCAATGAGCTTGAAATAAAAGTTGATTGATATTGGGCATTTGATTTCTGTTTTTCAGGTTTTGTTTTTTTTTTTAATGCACAGGGTTGCTAATTAAGTGTTAAAAATTAGGTAATCATGGCACTTTTTATGATTCAGTTTTTGATTATACATAGAACTAGAAATGTACAATCATGCGATTCTTATGAACAGTTTTTCAATCCAAGAATCACAAATTTAAAAGAATGTCTTCAGGGGCTGGGGATGTGGCTCAAGCGGTAGCATGTTCGCCTGGCATGCTTGGGTCCTGGATTCAATCTTCAGCACCACATACAAACAAAGATGTTGTGTCCACTGAAAAAAACTAAAAATAAATAAATAAATAAATAAATTTCTCTCTCTCTTTAAAAAAAAAAAAAAAGAACATCTTCATCTTCATATGTAGAAATTTAAATTTTTCTAGTTAAATTGCTTTCTGCCCCTCAGAAAAACAATAAAATTCAAAACTGGGAAATTAAAGATGACTTTTAGCTCAAATAGTACAGTGATATTAAAAATTGATTAACTTCTCATTTACATGGACAATACTTAAGTAATTAAGGCCTAAGAATTTAGAGCCCATTATTTCTTTGAAACCTTTTTAGAATATTTAGATTGTCACTAGTGATTCTAGCACTAACATAGGGCCCAGTACTATTTCTGGTTTCCATTCTTAAGCCATAGACATGGAAATATCCTAGGGATTAGCATTTACTCTCTAGGAGAGTGGCAGTAGTACCATAATTTTGTGTTTCCCTCTTTACCTGTCTATCTTCAAATAAATATTAGGTCAAATTCAAAGGAAAAAGATAATGTGGAGGGCATCCAAGTTGTGCACATTTTACTGTTGTTTTTTACTTCTGTCCTGATCCTAACTAACTTCATTTGCAAACTTGTCAATTCATATAATATTTTGAAAATTTCCAAGATGAGTTCCTATGTAGTGATTCACTTTAACTTAAATGCCAAAAATTAATCCAGGGTTCACAATCTTGAATGCATAATTTGCAAATAAAAATTACTCTTTTATGTAAAATTTTTATTTCATTTTAATGTTTTTTAAAATGATTGGTAATCTTAGGAAGTGTATTGAAATTATATTTTATGTTAGCATAAAATTAATGAGTATTATACATTAGACTTGAGAATATTAGCCCAAAACAATACTAATGTTTTGTTTACTTTCTTAATTCACAGTGATGCGGTTAACTAAGCCTACTTTATTCACCAATATTCCAGTAACATGTGAAGAGAAAGACTTACCTGGTATGTATAGCATGTGCTTAACCCTTTTGCACCTAAGGAAAAGTTGAGCCTGGGTTGCCTACATTATCTTGCAGTAGGAGTAGCCTTGGCAGTCTTGTGTTAATCCTTCAAAAGATTCTTTGTTGCCTGTTTTGTACCATGTGACCAATGGTGGCCTTCTGAGAAACAGGCCTCATGTATGATCTGCAAGTCAAGGTACTATTAGTAACCTATGAAAACAAGACACTTTTATTTTAGTTTAAACAAAGATATATCCATATTCATAACATTATTAAAATATTACCTTTACCCTCAGGTTTTCTATCAGTGTGGGATTCTTTTTATAAAGAATTATTGGTGTTTTATATAGCATATCATAATTTATGACCTATATTTTCCTTTGTTTTAAGTGTTCATTCTGTAAGATCAGATATTTTACATGCTTTGCTTTATTAAAGATTAGAAATGACATTACACATTATATATACATATTGAATTACAACACAGTACCTCATAAATAAGTATAAATATTGTATCATTTTTAAAAGATTAAAAATCAGATTTTTAAAATATGATTTCTTCTTTTTTCTTTTAGTACTGAGGATTAACCCAGGGGTGCTCTACTACTGAGCTGCATTCCCAGCCCTCTATTTATTTTTATTTTTTTATTTATTTTTTGGTACTAGGGATTGAACCCAGGCACACTTTCCTGATCCTTTTTATTTTTTGAGACAGGGTCTCACTAAGTTTCTGAGGCTGACCTTGAACTTTATGATCATTCTTTCTCAACCTCCCAAATAGCTGGGATTACAGGCATGTACCACCCTGCCTGGCAGAATTGTTTATTTTAAATATTTTTTCCAACTACTTCTTCTTTTTGTCTTTTTACAGAGCTGGGATTAAATTTAGGGCCTCACACATGTTAAGCAAGCAGTCTACACTAAGCTGTATCCAAGCCTCCAACTGTTTCTTTATATAGGTAAAACTTATTTAAAAGATGTTAGGGCTGGGATTGTGGCTCAGTGGTAGAGCGCTCACCTAGCATGGGCGGGACTCGGGTTCCATCCTCAGCACCACATAAGAATAAAGGTTGTGTTATGTCCATCTACACCTAAAAATAAATAAATAAATAAGATGTTAGAACTTTCTGTTTTTTCTCTTGTTATAGGAGATCTCTTCAACCAACTGATGAGAGATGATCCTTCAACTGTACGTGGTGCAGAAATTTTAATGTTGGGAGAAATGTTGACTTTACCTCAAAATTTCGGGTAAAAATGATACATTCACATGAAACATGCAACAGTACCTTAAAGAACGTTACAAGTCATGTTTTCAAATATAACTATGCAATAGAAAAATGTTTAAAATACACTTAAGTGGGAAAAAGTGATAAAAATTATATTATGTGATTCTAGTTTTCTCTTTTTTTTCTTTTTTTTAAAAAAGAGGTACATATTAAAATATGTTACTAGTTTTTTTCTAGGATGTTAGCATTTTAACTTTCTTCTTTAGCTCTTACTATATTTTAGGGCCCAGGATGTATACTGCTTATTGGTATACTGCTTCCCTGATGTGCGGTTCAATCACTAGTGCTGCCAAAAAGAGAGGAAGGAAAATCCTAATTGTATTTTATAATGACGATATATTTCTTTCATTTTTAACTAATTTGATCTGAATGTCTTTTTCACCCTACAGCCCTCTCCCAACAGAAGTTATTAGACTTGTCACCTAATTAGGAACTCTGAATTTTTTGTTTATTTTCTTGTTCTTAAGTATTTTCTTATCCTGGATTACTGATGGAGTAGTAATTTGCAACTAGAAATTTTAAGACAAAAGGAGCATTTTGTCTTTATTTTTTAAGACTTATAGAATGTGGTTATTGACTAATATCCTGAAAACTTGAGAATATATTCATGTAAAAAATATAAAACTATATAGAGTAAAGCCACTGGTCACTTTTATTAGAATAGTGAAATAATTTCACAAAAATACTCCAGATTCTAGGCATGTGCCACTTCACCCAGCATACCATGTTTTATTTTGAAATAGACTAGGTAATGAATGAGTAATCTAATAAAAATAAAGAAATGTTGAAGCAATAGTTCATCTAATTTCTCTATCCATTAGAAAATTTTTTTCCACCTGAGGTTCCTTGTGATACTCAAAATAGAATGTGGTTATTGACTAAAATCTTGACATTTATGATAAAACCTGAATGAATTTCTGCTTAAAATTGTATTTTATTTCACAGAAATATATTCTTGGGAGAGACCTTTTCCAGTTATATCAGCGTTCATAATGATAGCAATCAAATTGTAAAAGACATATTGGTAAAAGTAAGTAATATTCTTGAACATTCTTGCTTGGGTTATATTTTATTATTTTAAAAAAGTCTTCTTTTTGATAATGGTGATTTTACCCAGGGGCACTTAACCACTGAGCCATATTCCCAGCCCTTTTTTCTTTTATTTTGACAGGGTCTTAGTGACAGGGTCTCACTAAATTGCTGATGCTGGTCTTGAACTTACCATCTTCCTGCCTCAGTCTCCCGAGTTGCTGGGATTACAGGTGTGCACCACCATGCCCGGCTTCTCTCCTGTGATTTTTAGGCTTCATTAAAATGTAGGTTTGATATTAGAATTTTTAGTTGTCATTATCAAGTATTGATGGATATCTAATGACATTATGCTACACACTAAAATGACATTATGTCACACACACATATTTTCTCATCCTCAAAGTTTGTGATGTCTTGGATAAGAAAATAACTAGTCAAAGGTAAATAATGGTTTCAGGTTTTTGTTACTTTATCTGATTAACATAATATTTGAACAAGGAAGAAAGATCACTGGGTATTGTTTCAATCAGGAAGTCTTATTAGAAGAAAGGGAAAGCAAAAGGATGTTGAAAGAATAGTAGCATTTAGAGGAAAAAGTAGAAGACATGTTTATCAGAGGCAGAGGCAGAGGGGATACATAATGTTTTCTTTTAGCAGCAAGCAAAATTCACTTGTAAGAGGAGATAATGTGGTAGAGATGTTTACTAGCTATACAGTATACCATTTTGAAAGCCAGCTTAAGATTTTAGCCCTTTGGGTTTAATTCTTAGCCCTGCATATAAATAAATAAAATAAACGTCTATCAACAACTGAAACATAAAACTAAAAATTAAAACAAAAAGAATAGCTATTTATTGAGCAATGCAGTATCAACCAGAGGTCTGCTTAGATTCAATTCATATATGCATAAGCCATTTAATCTCATAGGAGAATGTATGTCAGGACACACAGCATGATGTTGGTCTGCATTTTTCTTATGTTATGTTTTTATAAGATTTTAGGTATCAGTATTATGGTTGCTTAGTAAAACATTTAGGAAATTTAACTTTATTTCAGTGCTTAGTAGCAATATGGGGATCATTTATAGTATCTGCTCTTTAAAGGATTTATGGAATGCAACAGCAGAATCATGTGAGTTGTTGCTGTTTTGCTGGGAAACGCCTTTATAACATTTTCTTTTTTCCCCTAGTCTCTTTAAAAGTTTTCTATTTCTAATAGTGTAAATTTTGTGAAGCCATTTTTCTAGAAAAAAAATATTAATGTAGATTTTCAAATTTATTGACATAGAAGTGTAAAAAATCATCTCTTAAAAATTTCTTCTATTTAAATGTTATTTGTCCCTGATCATTTCCTATTTTTGGTCCCCAAGTCAGATAGCTTTAGGTTTGTATATTTTAAAAAAATACTTAAATTATATCAAATGTTTTTCTGTTCTCTACTTCAGTAATTTTTGCTTTTGACTTTATTTTCTTTCTTAGGTTTCTGCTTATTTATTTTCCTCTTTTTTTCCTTCTTTCACTGGAGATTTAACCCATTTATTTTATTTTTGTTGATAAAATGAATTTTTTTCTGGTTCACTGTTTTAGGTATATCGTACAGATTCTGTTACATAGTATTTTCATTATGATTAATTTTGTTTGTTCTTCATCTTTATGTGGTACTGAGTATTGAACCCAGTGGCTCACACACGCAAGGTAGGGCTGAGCTATTGCCCCAGCCCTGTCCTTCCTCTTTTACCTAAGAGTTGTTTATTGGAAGGGTTTTCAGAGAAAAAGCCTACGTTTTCCTATTTTAATTCTTATTAATACTTTCTAGTTTTATTACATTGTAATCAGTGTCATTCTTGTAATATTTATATTCATGGAACTTGCTGATGCTTTCTTTGACTGAATATTTATTTTTTAAAATGAATTTTTACATATGTATTTGAGAAGTTTCCTTCTTTATTATTGGTTGTAAAGCTAGATCCATATATTCATAAGACCTGTTTTACTGATTGTGTTGTTTAGATCATTTATATCTTTTCTTTTTTGTCATCCTGATCTATCTTGTCAGTAAAAGTGACATTTATCTCATATTGTTAGTATATAATATAAATAGAAATAACATTTCTATTTAAATATAAATAGAGATAACATTTCTATTTATATCTCCTTAAATTTTATGTAGTTTGCTTTAAAAAGGCTATGTTGGCTGGGTGCAATGGCACGCACCTGTAATTCCAGAGACTGGGGAGGCTGAGGCAGGAGGATTACAAATTCAAGGAAAGCTTCTGTAATTTAGCAATGCCTTAAGTAATTTAGTGAGACCCTCTCTTAAAATAAAAAATAAAGAGGTCTGGAAATGTAGCTCAGTGTTAAAGCACCCCTGGGTTATATCCTCTTTGGTGATATTTCATGGTTTTTGGCTTGAATCTTGTGATAGTTATATCATTTACCCTTGCTTTTTCACTGTTTCCATTTGTGTGGTATGCCTTTTGCCCGTCTCCTTTTATTTTTATTTATTGCAAATGATTTTGAATTGTGTCTCTTGTGTATAACATATAGTTGAGTGACAAATTTTATTAATAGATGACTTAAGCCCATACATATGTATTGATAAGTTTTATGTGCTTGATTTCAATTGTGTTGTATTATTTTATATTGTAAATATTAAGTATATTAATTTTTCTCGTTTCTATTGTATATTGTTTTTAATATCTTTTGGTGTTATGAAGTTTTATGGTTTTGTTCTAGTTTTTAATCTTAGTATTTATAACACTCAATGCCTGCCTCCCCCATTCTGTTTTCTTACTTAGCTTCTTACTATAGGGCTTTTAGTTTTTAATAATGTCCTTTAACTCTTACCTGTTGGTTATGCTACTTTTCTCTTTCTCTTCTCCATATTACACCCCCGGGTTTTTAAGTTCGAATCTTGTTTGTATATTGCTCACTACAAGAGCATAAGGATTTGATATTTTTCTGCTTACCCAGAAAATGAATTTAAGACATTTGCTGCCTTCTAGTTACACTAATATAAGTTTTCTTTTTTTTTTCAGTTTAGATGGACACAATACTTTATTTATTTTTTTGGTACTAGGGATTGAACTCAGGGGCACTCGACCACTGAGCCACATCCCCAGCCCTATTTTGCATTTCATTTAGAGACAGGGTATCACTGAGTTGCTTAGCGCCTCACAGTTGCTGAAGGTGGCTTTGAACTTGCTATTCTCCTGCCTCAGCCTCCCGAGCCGCTGGGATTATAGGCATGCACCACCATGCCCAGCTTAATATAAGCTTTTTATAGTTTTATTCTTTTTTATTTTTCTGAGGATATCTTGGGAGATTCATATTTACACTTAAGGTAACCAAAATTTTGCCCTCAACAATTTAATTTTGTATAGCTCCTTGAATTTTGGAATTATGAATAAAAGATTGAGACTTTGCAATTTTTATTCCTTTGCTGTCATCTCAATATTTTGAGAATATAAATGCTTATGCTATCTGTGATATCACTGGAAACCATTAGTTCATTTTTATTTTCTAAAATATCTTAGTATAAATCTGAAAGCCTTAATGCACTACCAAAAAGGTGTTCAAAAAACAGGGTAATTAGTGTATTATAAATAAAAAATAATAAGTAGCTCTAAGGTTCTCTCTCTTGGTTCTCAAATTTTAGAAAGCATCATAATCATCTGGAGAGTTTGTTAAAACCCTCTGTGCCCCATCCCTAAAATTTTTGATTCATTTGATTTGGAATGGTGCCCAAGAGTTTATTTTTGTAACTTATTTTCAAGTGATACTGATTCTATTGGTCTGGGAACCAGACTTAGAGAACTACTTCTCTGTACTCGTCATTCACACATTCATTCAACAAATAGATATGCTTAGCATAATTTTAGATACTACAGTTACAGTAGGAAACAAAACAGAGAAGACTTCTCTGTTGTCTTGAAGCTTATTCAAGATGTTTTAGAGTAGTCTTTTCTGTTCCTGAACATTCTATATTCCCTTAACCAAAATCTTGATGACTTCTGAAGATATCTTGTGCTTTCATGCCTGTGTTTTGCTAACTCTGTTCATCTTACTCGCTTCCCCCTTTTTTCTTGCCTATTCAAATCCTATCCATCAAAAAACCAATTTGCAGCATGAAAACTACCCTGCAATTTAAATTGCATTTTTCTACCCCAAGCCAGCCCTTTACTCTTTACTCTGCTTCTTTTCTCCCAAGACTTGTACTTCTAATATACTATAATAATGTACTCCGTTGTATATTGTTAGTTGTCTTCTTTACCTCCTTTCCAAAGAATATAAACAGGGTCAGGGTGTCCACTGATATATCTCCAACTCCTAGAACTGGCTCTCTAACATAAATATTCAGTACAGCATTATTTATAATAGTAACAAAGGAGAAAGACGAAAGTGTTCAGTCATAAATAACATACACTGTAGTTATGGTTAACAAAAAATGGCATAAGAAAATGCGTATTGGGAGAACTCATAGGAAAACATTGGGTAGCAAGCCAGTTGGTTTTAAGTATTTCTCTCTTTTTTCCCCCTTCTAATTTTGAAAATATTTTTAGAAATTTTGAATCTCAGCTTCATTGTTGACTAGTTGTATAATCTTGGGAAAGTTGTTACTTTTCTGTGCCCTCTTTTTCATTGTCTATAAAATAGGAATGATACTACTTACTTCAGGATTGTGAGGGTTACTTAAGTAATGTGCTTAGAATAGGGCCTTGCACTTAGTAAGTGCCTGATAAATAGAGCTACTACTATTTTTTAATTGAACATAATAAGAGACAACATTAATAAATATCCTACTCCAAAATGACTAACATTAAGAATTTTAAATTAGAATTAATAGCAACAACTGTTTTCTTAAAGAAACAAAATCATTAAAAAATTCCTAACTCTTATGTAAAAACCTACACTAATCTCTATTACCTAATGTGATCTTTACATCCTCTGAATTTTCTTGATATTTGCCTTGAAGTTTTATCACAACTTAATTTATGCATTTGGTAGTCAACAAATATTTATTAATTGCCTATGCTATAGTTCCAAGCAAGAAAAGACAAAAGGTTCCAAAGACATTTCTGGTAGGTGAGACAGAAAGAGATAAACAAAATCCTAAATAAGGTAATTAGATGTTGTGATAAATGTTAAAAAGAAATAAAAGTTGAAAGTGACAGGCAGTAACTGAGATTAAGGGAGGCTGCTATTTAAGACACTTAGAGTGCTACATGTCCAAAAGTTAAGAGAAGGGGAGAATGCTAGGGTGGCTCAGTGATAGAGCACTTGCCTAATACATGTGAGGCACTGGGTTCAATTCTCAGTACTGCATGTAAACAAATAAATAAAGATCCATCAACAACTAAAAGAAAAGAAAAGGGGAGAATATCATAGAAAATAACTGGATGGAGGTACAGTGCTACTTTAGAGAAGGCAATACTTCCTTAGTTGATGACTTTAATGTCACTCAGTTCTCCATTAACTTAATTGGTTTCTCATATCAAATATTGTTTTGAATTATTTTTAGTATTATATACTCATATATAAACACAGTATATTTATTTTGGCTAAGTTCATTTGTATATATGTTTAAAAATCCTAAGTTCATGTTGATGCTTCAAATTCTAATCTAATACAAAAGGTTTCATTGTAGCCTTCCCCCTTTCCTTATTTCTACCTTTTTTCTCTAAAGAAAAGAAATCTGTATCTTGTTATCCATAATATGTATACTTTTTTTTTTTTTTTAGTTCTAGTATATACATAAAAAGTTGCATATTGTTACCTCACATCCCTATTGGGGAAAAAAAAAATGTGCTGGCCAAGTACAACATTGAAGTACCATTTTCCTTTTATTTTGACTATAGTTAAGATTTTGTTTTCCAAACTTACTTTCATTAGTTCTTTTTTCTCCTCTTCATTTTCGTGTGTTTACATTGTACAATTTTAAAACAGGTAGGCTCACATGTTACTATTTGTATTTCATTTGGATTTTCCCTAATTCCTGGTGGTGGTTGTTGTTTTTGTTTTGTTTTGTATTTTGGGGCTTTGTCTGTGTGTGTAAGTACATACAGTTGCCTTAGTTATAAGCATCAGAACTGTGCAGAAAGGTTTACAGAGAAAAATATTGCTTGCTCTTTATCCCCACTTCTTTGTTCTTACACCCGACTTTTCTTTCCACTCATATCCATCCAGATCCATCCACACAAAAGGTAACCAGTCTCATTTGGATATTTTTTATACCTCTTTCTCCCAAGGCTGACCTGCAGACAAGTTCTCAGCGTTTAAATCTTTCAGCTTCCAATGCTGCAGTGGCTGAACTTAAACCTGATTGTTGTATTGATGATGTCATACACCATGAAGTTAAGGAAATTGGAACACACATGTAAGGATATTTTACCATTTGGCTTTTACTTATGCCTTTATTTGAGATTTTTGCTGTTTAACCTTCTAAGAACCCACTTCCAAAGGAATTTTATGTTTCATATTTGCATACTTACCAAAACTAACTTTAAACAAAATATTTGTAGGGGGAAAATCTAGTTTATCATTTATCTCTGGCTTCATTTTTGCATCTACAATCTTAAAAAAAGAAAAGCCAAGTTCATATTTAAAACCTAGTTAGCACTTTAAACTTACATTTGTAATCTTTAAAAAATGCTAGCAACTGATGTTCATGGTGTTTATTTTTAAATTCACATTTTTCATTTCTATATTTAACTGGGTATGTATATTCTCCCCTGAGAATTCAGAAATATAGAACCAAAGTAAGACAAAGCTGTGAAAAATTATCTCAAAGTTTGTATTGTTGACTTGTGAATATATTTGAATGTGAATGTTCTTTTTCTTTCAGTCTAAAAGACAAATAGGAATATTTCAGCCATATGAAGTAATTTTAGAGTTCTCTATCTCCTTTAGCACTCCCACATCCAGTGAATTCATACATTCCTATTACCTCTAAATATTTCTCATTTATCTGCTTCATTTCTTCTCTATTTCCATTATTCCTTTTCCTTCTCAATGCTCATTAAAACACATAATACAGCTAATATTAAATATGTATAATAACTATTTGGTCAGTTAATTTTGATGACAGGCTCTGTGGTAGGCACTTTTTACTATAGAGTCTGTGATTAGTATAAAATTTGGAGTCAAATTTCCTAAAGTTCAAATTTCTGAGCCATCATTTATTAATTATGTCATCATTCACATTTTTAATGACCTCTTGTTGCTTTTTGGAAATTCTAACTTTGTATGTTTTTCAGAAAGCTTCACAACCTAATCCTTACCAACCTTTTGTCACCCTTCTCACCTCCTCTGCATTGCAATCATGTGGACATCTTTCCCCTCCAAATCCATGTCTTGAAATGTGTTCCCGTATAAAGGAACGCCAATGACATTTTGTATAATTTATATTTAATTTTTTTTTCCTATCTCAGCACCATGATTTCCTAAGAGACTTTCCTGACCTTTATGACCTTTATGTATAACTAATAAATTTTAACATCTTTCATACTTACAGAATTTCATACATACTTGAGTATTACTTTTCCTATTAAAATATGAAGTCCATGAAATCTTCTATATTCCCAGGATCTGGAAGAAAACAGTGGTCGATATTTGTAAAATTGAATTTATGAAAATGATGATAAATGTTTAAATCCCCATTTTACAGAAAATGAGACTCTTATAAAATTAAACAGCTAGTTTAGAAGACAGAACTCAAATCTGAATCTAGTTTCAAAACCTGTCCCTGCTACAGTACTTCCCACTGTAAGTATTTAAGGTTAGGTGTTGTGTTTTGATCAGTTTGCTCCCTAGCCCCTGGCATAGTCCTAATTTAGAAATCAAATTATCTGGGCTGGGGATGTGGCTCAAGCGGTAGCGCGTGTGACCCGGGTTCGATCCTCAGCACCACATACCAACAAAGATGTTGTGTCTGCCGAGAACTGAAAAATAAATATTAAAAATTCTCTCTCTCTCTCTCTCTCTCT